TCTAGTCGGGAAACAGCAAGTTTGGACTTTCTTTGGCCTGTCCGCTCAGGAAGTGAGGGCTTGTGAAAAACCGGACTTATAGCTTTGAACTGAGGGTAGCAATGTATTTCGGGCATTTCCCACCAGACGCTGTTCACTAGCCAAGTTCTGGTTGATCACATTCGCAGATCTGAATTTTACTTGACTTCGGCTCTGGACTTGAAGCAGTTTTAAGGTAGCTGCCTGCTTTGGAAGCTTTGCAAACTTGACTGCGCCATGCTTTCCGTGGACGTGTGCTTGCCGAGCGGGAGCAGCGGCTCCATTGCCGTGGTGCCGGAGATGAGCGTGCGCGATCTGAAGTCAGCAGCGCAACAGCTCTTCAGGCGCCGTTTCCTGAGGCTCATTTTCGGGGGCCGGCCACTGGAGCTATGGGACACTCTGAGTGAGGCGGGCCTGCGAAATGGGGACAGAGTCGATGCAGTCGCCCTGCCTGTCCGGCTGGCCTCCACTGGGACCTCTTTCGCCCTTCATGTGGAAGGAGGCGCAGCGCTTGCTTGGGGCGAGCCTGACCATGGAGGTGACAGTAGCCAGGTGCGAGAGCTGGCGCGGGTCCAGCAGATCCAAGCAGCTTCAGATGGTGCTTTTGCCGCCATCCGTGATGACGGCTCGTGGTAACTTGGGGCGTTCCTGACTTTGGTGGTGACAGTAGCCCACTACAAACGCAGTTGGTGCGCGTCAAACAGATCCAAGCCACCAGATCTGCTTTGGCTGCCGTTTTGGACGACGGTTCTGTGGTGACTTGGGGCCGTCCTGACTCAGGCGGTGACAGCAGCCAGGTGCGTGAGCAGCTGGTGCGTGTGCAGCAGATCCAAGCAACTTATGGTGCTTTTGCTGCCATTCTGGACGATGGCTCTGTGGTGACTTGGGGCAGTCCTGGATCTGGCGGTAACAGCAGCCAGGTGCGAGACCAGCTGGTGTACGTGAAACAAATCCAAGCTAGTCACGCTGCTTTTGCTGCCATCCTGGCCGACGGCTCTGTGGTGACTTGGGGCAATCGTAACTATGGTGCTGATAGCATCCAGGTGCGTGAGCAGCTGGTGTGTGTGTGCAGCAGATCCAAGCAACTTATAGTGCTTTTGCTGCCATTCTGGACGATGGCTCTGTGGTGACTTGGGGCGATCGTAGTAATGGTGCTGACAGCAGCCCGGTGCGAGAGCAGCTGGTGCACGTGCGGCAAATCCAAGCAAGTGGCGCTGCTTTTGCTGCCATCCTGGCCGACGGCTCTGTGGTGACTTGGGGCAATCATAACTATGGTGCTGATAGCATCCAGGTGCGTGAGCAGCTGGTGTGTGTCCAGCAGATCCAAGCAACTTATGGTGCTTTTGCTGCCATTCTGGACGATGGCTCTGTGGTGACTTGGGGCAGTCCTGGATCTGGCGGTAACAGCAGCCAGGTGCGAGAGCAGTTGGTTCGCGTCCAGCAGATCCAAGCAACTGAGTATGCTTTTGCTGCCATCCTGGCCGACGGCTCTGTGGTGACTTGGGGAAACACTGCCTGGGGCGGCGACAGCAGTCAGATTCAGACTAAGCTGGACTGCTTGTAAGGGAAAGCGCCAGCCCTGCATACTGCAGTGTCAGGTTCTGTCAAACGGTTGGCAGTTGACGCATATTCCAAAAGAACGATAAGATCAAAGACAACAAAGGCAGAAAGGAAGGAGCAAATAAATGCACAGATAGAAACAATGACAATAACAACATGTCAAAAAACGATACATCAAGGAAGTATATATATATATATATAGACCAAAGATAGACGTAGATAAAGCACCAATAAAGGAACATGAGCGAACAGAAACAATCACTATTGGAAGAAAAGAAAGGAAGACAGAGAGACAAAGGAACACAGATACAATCACAGAACAGAAGAGAAGGGAACAGACAAGAAGAGAACAAGACAGGAAGGAACATGCAAAACCCCAAAGAGAGCCTCTGCAAATAAATCGCCATATGCATGAAAGCTGGGGGTGGAGGTTTTTGTTTTCGTGCCAGGCCGCGGGGAAAGCCCGGCCCACTTCAAGACCTCAAGGGCCATGTAGCCAAAGGCATGGTTACAAGTCTTAACTGCTGGGCAACGGATCTTTAGACTTCAACTTCCTCGGAAATCACGAGGTCTTCCACCTAGACCCCGGAAAAAGTTGAGCTTTTGGCAGGGGGGTCGACAGCAAGCAAGAAGTCTCCTGAGTGGGTTATAACCAGGCTTACGATCACCACTTCCTAAGTACCCTTTCGCCCCTTTAAGCATACCCAAGCTCCAAATACCCGGCCGTTTTTCAGGGTATCATGTCCACCCCTCTACTAAAAAAGGGAGGCATGTACCATGGAAAACCAGGGTTTTAAAATACCCTGAACAAAAAGCGGGTATAGGCCGAGCATGGGTCCATCATCAACCCCATCACTGGCGAGGAGGTGCGGACCGAATCAGCGAATCGACCAGATCTGACATAGAAACTCGCCTTACCGTGCCCCGAATTGCTCCAACTCCCAGCTTTGTTTTGGGTGTCAAGTCAACCCTTGACCGCAAGGCGATATGTGCCTTAAAATGACGAGAATTTGGAGTAGGGGGTGCCCGAAATGGAGATATTCCACACGCCTCAATGGTTTTCGGGGTACCCCTCAATTGCTCAAAGCGAATCGCCCTGAAATGACATTTTGTTTTTTTCTTGGCAAGGTTCTTGGCATGCCTTTTCTATGGCAACGAACCGCACATGATTCGCCTCCCCACGAGCACATGGAGAACGGATCCCTCCAAATGCCTTGCCTGCTGTTGGTTTCTGGGACACATACCCACCGCGCATGGGGGCAACTGGATGCTTCCCATCCGCAGGGGCCCATGTGTGCTTTTTTTTGGCCGCGGGCAGGTGAACCTCGGGATCTGGGTATCTTTTCTTCTTGGACCGACCAATCCATACTTGGGTTGGTTGGTTGGAAGGTGGGTATTTTTTTGGACTGACACATCCAAAGGGAACCTTTAGTTGGTTGGTTGCAGGCTTACCCCTTACTCGAAATACCTGCTTTTTCCAGGGTATGGAAAACCGATCGGTTTTGCAGGGCAAATGCCTCCTTTCGTAGAGGGTCGACAACATCATACCAACTAAAAAAAAGGCGGGTATTTGGAGGTTACGGGGGTACTTCTCGCACCGAACACCTGGTTTTCCCAAAACATTCCCTGGAAAAAGCGTTGGTATTTGGAGCTTTCGGGGGTTAAGGTTCAATCAGGGATCACCACATTTTATTCGTGCTACTTCGTCAACGAAAATGTCGCCTTCCATTGGCTGAAATGAACATGTGTTTTTTTCCCCCATCTGTCGGTTGCACTGGGAATCGACTATTCAGCTCAGTTGCCCAAAGCCGACCTTTTGACCTTTTAGTTTTCCAATTTTGGTCCATTTTTGGTAGAGGTGCCAAAAGGTTAACCTTTTATTTCCAACTCCTTTGGGCAAGTGAGTCAGTACTGGACATATAAATCTATATCTTTTTCTAGGGGCGAACATGCAATTGGAAGTCGCTATGGAGTCTTGAATCCGCGGCTCCGCTTCCAAACTCTGGAGTGCCCCTTGGAACTCTGACAAGTTGTCTCAGAGCTATGGACACCTGGCTCCCCTTTGCGGTCCGTATCATATGTCTTTAAGTTGTTTGTTGAAGCAAACCCTCTATACTCCAAATACCCGCTTTTTTTCAGGGTAGTTGTTTGAAAAAAACTGGTTTTCCATGGTAAATCCCTCTTCGTTTAGTAGAGGGTCGACATGATACCCTGAAAACAAGGGTATTTGGAGTAGGGGGTTTAGTAACATTGGATTTAGTTGCCATTGGATTGTTTGTTGCTTGTGTGTTACCATTCATTTAAATCTGTATGTTGCTTATTTTGTTTCATTGGACTTAGTTGCAGCAGGTCAACAGGACCTTATTTTCGGATCTAAAACGGGGACCCTTACCTGACCCCGAAAGAACTCTAAGTGGGCAAGCACCCGCACCCCCCAACCATTGTTTGGGATGAGTGACATGGGAAAACTCAGCTGGGGTTGCTGGCACCCATTTCTTGGGTATGAAGGTCCAGCTGGATTCACCGGGACTTTGCGAGCACTTCGCATTGCAAGCACCGCACTGCCGCAGCGCTTGCGTCCACTTCGGCTCGTAGCCTCAGTGTGTGCGCGCCACTTGGTTCATGTGGAGGTGTCAAGTTTTTGGAACCTTTGTGGGTTGGTGTCTTTGGTACCTTTGCTGTAGGTTTTGAAGGGACCAGGGGCAAACCAAAGCCATTTTGCCCCCCCCCCCGAGAAAAAAAACAAAAACGCAAAACAACACAACACAAAAAAAGCCGGGGGGCGATTTCCAGAAAACCGCCGGAGGACATGTAGAGGGCGACCTGTGCGCCAGTTTTTTTCTTTTTTCCTCGAGCCTTGGGCCCCACGAGCTCGGAGATCCGCGAAGCCGCCGACAAGTCGATGCCGACTCGTTGTTTAAAAGAGAGGGCGTTTTTTGCCCCACGGGTCCAAAGGAGAAAAAAACCGTGGGTTTTAGAGGAAAACAAACAGAAGCCCATTTTCTCCCCGGAAAAGAAGGGAAGAACACGAATTTCCAGCACCCCCCCAACTGCTTTTTCAACCGTTTTCTTTAAAATCACAACGGTTGCTATGGACCCAGGTGCTGGTTGGTGCTTGGTCCATGTGCCAGGGTCTCAAGAGCAACTCTGACGGTGTTTCACCCAAAAGGGTTGCTAAGATTTCACTCCATCCATCCGCTTACCCACCCACCAAGATGCCTAGATAGCCAAGTTGCTGCTTTTTTCAGTCACTGTTGGGGTTTTCAGGATAAAGTTCATGGAAAAAAGCGATCGCAACTGGCGATCCAGGTGGTTTCTTTGGGTTCCTCACTAAAAGTTGTCCATTCTCAAAAGATAACTTGGTTTTCCCACCGAAGAGGTGGAGTCGCAACCGCCCGGGTGCGGCAAAGCAAACTTGCGCCATGGAGCGGCTGCAAGCTTTGATCTCGGAGGCGTTGCTGGCCGAAGGCTGGCAGATTGCGCGAGGGAGAGAGAGGGATGGACTTTGCCCAAATCGAATCGACCGAATCTGAGCTTTTGGTTTCTCCTTCTAGTTTTAGTGGACCCAAGAGGTGATCACCTTTGATTCCTGGGTCCGAACTGGGCAGTGGAACATGTTGACCCTAATCAACCCCGGTTTATTGGCAGGTGTCCCTGGGTTGGGGGGGCTCATTTATCGGGGGGATGGGGGGGGCCCCTCCAAAAGTGAAGCAATCCTCACGAAAACCAGGGACACCCCCATATTAATAAACAGCCTGGACCTTCGTCCTCCTGAAAAGAACACGTTGTTTCCGCCTTTGACTGGATATTCGGGAAATCGTAGCACTTTTTGCCGCAAAAACCTGAAACGTTGCTTTATTAATAGGGGGTGTTCAATAGAGCGAGAGAGAGAGACAGAGGAGAGCAATGTGGGAGGCGAGAGGAGAAAAGCGAAAAGAGAGGTGAGACAGACGGGAAAGGAGAGAGGGAGAGCGGGAACTCCCCCTTTGTGCACGTTGCCTTGACAAGACCCCTCCCCAAAGAAAGAACAAGCAGACAATTACAAATGCAATCAATCGATGAAGCAAGAAATGCCCAAAAGGCAAAGATGTACACAACACCTGTGGATGCGATTATGTATACATATATAATTATATATTATATATATATATATATACATGTATCGTGTATAAATAAATATACATATATATATATGCATAAAATGTACCTGTAAACTGCACACACACAACATGATGATTGAAGAACGTTAGACGAAGCAATCAAGAAGAAACAACAACGAAAACCCGACCCCTCCCTTTGAGATGATGTCCACTACCAACCACTACCGGGCCCCAGGGGGTTTACTGGCAACAACTACCACTATATAGCCACTACATAAAGCGTATATGCCATGAGTTTTCCTGGGGGTCATGGTTTGGGTGTAGCGGAAACCATCCCCCCTACTCTAAATACCTGACTTTCCATGGCAAATACCTCCATGGTTTAGTGAAGGGTTGACATGATACCATCAAACTACCCGACTAAGAATGTTGGTTCTTGCAACCCAAATTTCTGAGACTAAGTTCCTCTTGTTTTTGGCCTAATTGCTTCAAGTGCTGCGATTTGGATGCACTCACCAGCAAAGCGGTCCGCATTTTGGCACTAAAAACCCATGCTAGCTCCCCGAGTAGTGCCCTTCTCTCCCTTTTTAGGTTGGGAGGGTTCCCCTACTAAAATAGACTACAGAAAAAAAGTCGGGTAACCTCTCTACTGAAAAACCTAGCGTGCATCTTATCTGCCAGACCAACATGGAAGCTCCCAGGACCCCTTTGCAAGACTTGGTTCCACTTACAGCGGCCTTTTGGGAGCTTCCGGCTGTTAGTTTGAGGGAGTGTATCTTCTGTTCTCCCCATCTTGGCACCATTTTGGCACCAACACATCCCACACATCCGAATTTCGGCACCATTTCTTTTGACAAACCAACATTCAAAACATCCACTTCGGCACAAAAACCACCCATGCATCTTCTGTTCCGGCTTCGAGTTGGCCTCCCGCTTCCAAAAAGCCGCAGGCTTTCCTCCGGAGCCCCGCGGCCGCGGAAGAGCCGCGCGGCCGCGGCTGGACCGCGGCGCCTGGCGCAGCGGCGCGGCGGTGAGCGCCTGGCGCAGAGCCAGCGGCACGGGCCAGGCGCGGAGTCGGGTGTCGTTTTTGGAGCGCGAAAAGTCTACGGGTCAGCCGGGTTAGTCCTGTGGTTTTTGCGTTCCATTTATTTTTTTGGGGGGGGAGGTGTTGTTTGAAGGGTTTGTTGGCTGCTTGTGTTCTTTTCTTTTCCTTTTGTTTTGGCGGGGGAGGGGGGGTGTTTACATGGCCATGGGTTGCAACACCTACTGTGGATGGTTGCGAAATCCATTTCGCACCACCTGCGAAACCCTGGTTTCTGATGATGTCCATCCACAGTATGCGAGCCATTTTGGGGTGGATGAACATCCATTTGCTAATTACCTATTCTGATGTTCACCAGGGGTACGGGGTTTTGACCCACAGCCATGTGTTGGGTTGTGTGGTTGTTTGAAGGGTTTGTTTGCGGTTTGCTTATTTATTGATTTATTTATTTTATTGTTTTTTTTTTTTTTTTTTTTTTTTTTTTTTGGTGGGGGGGTTTAGGTGCTTGAGTTGTATTGAAGGGCTTGTTTGCATGTTTTTACGCGTTTTAAGCGCAGGTGTTCTTCTTTCTGTCCTTTCTTATTTTTTTTTTTCGGGGGGGCCTTCATTCAGAATCAGTTTTTCGCTACCAAGGGGTTGACAAGAGAGGATGGGCATTTTCTTGGGTGCCGTTGGCTTTTGGATATTTTTTAATCCCCTGAGCTATATGCTTTTCCATTTGCTTAAGAATATTTATTATATGTCCCTTGTTGGTTTTAAAGGGTATCTGTATTATCTATCAACACTGGAAATTATGTGTGTTTTTTTTTTTTCTGGGGAGCTTTAGCAAATGGAAGCTTTGCATGGACCAAGAAGCAGTTTTGCTGGAGAAGTCCATTTGGTTCCCTTTTGCTTGCTCGAGGCATCCTAAGCGCAAAAGGGTGATCGCGGCTAAGACCCTTGGATGATCAACTGTCTGGCCCCTCTTGGCCGATTTCCCCTTCTTCCTGGAGTCTCCATGACCCTTTAAAATTGGTTAATGACCAGCCATTATTTTGGGTAATGACCAACCATTTTTTTTAAGGGTCATGGAGACTCCAGGAACAGCCAGAAGTATCAAAAGAAAAAACCCAAAAGGGAAAGGACAACCCCAAAAGGCAAAGACAAGACACGAAATGAACGCCACCAAACTAAACCTCGGTCTGTTCCCCCTTTTTGCCACAGCCTCTCTTTTTGGGCGGCCGAGGTCTTTGTCCCCTTGTGGCCGCGCGGGCCCGGAAGAGGTTTCTTGTTTTTTTCTCCCCCGCCGGCTGCGGCGTTTTTTTCTTTTCTTTTTTTTGTGTGTTTTGGTGTCGCAACCAATTGGATGCCTTCGGAGCCCAAGAGCAAAAGAGGTGGTGGATGGTTACGTGGCTGGCCATTCCCCTAGCACAATGAGAGAGGGTCATAGGAGTTCTTTTTTTGCCTCCCTGTGGATGGAGGAAATCCTGCACTTGGAAACCATGGTTAAAACCACGTAAGGTTTGTTGGAGGGGAATCATCAGACCGTCAGACACCAACTTTTGCGGAGTCCGGTGCTGCGAGGTTTCCGGATTTCGCAGCTATTTACAGTGGACCAAATCCATTCGCTTCTCGTAGGAAAGGAAGCCATGGTGGAAGCCGTGGCGTGTGCGACATGGATTTGGTCCACAGTAAGGCCTTGCGTCCCATGTCTTGTTTTGTCTTGGGTCTTTGGCGGTGAAAGGCCTTACATCGGGTCTTGGGCTCCTACTTAAATGGGTCATGGTACTTCGTGGACAAAAAGCAACTCAGTTGTTCAAAGCGAATCGACCGAATCTGACCTTTTGGTTTCTCCTTTTTGGTCTAGTTTTAGTCATGAACCCAAAAGGTTAACCTTGTATTTCTGGGTCCTTTGGGCAAGTGAGACAATGATTATAACCTACTTACATCCACAAACGCCATGGTCATAAGTCTCTGTTTAGTGTCTTACAAACACGCTTACAAACCACCACTTACCTGACGTACCCGATCGCATCGATCGCCCCTGTAAGAGCTCTTGCCTGACCCACCCCCTACTCCAACTACCCGCTTTTTTCGTTGGTATTTTTGTTTCCCATGGTAAGTACCTGTTTTTTCTCGCAGAGGGTCGACATGAGACCAACGAAAAAAAGGCCGGGTATTTGGAGGTTAGGGGGTAAGCACAAAACAAAACACTTTGGTCCAGGTGATCTGCGTCGCGTTACCCAGAAACCAACGGTGATCACCCGGTAATGTTAACCCCGGATTCATAAACCCCTGTTGATTAATATGGGGGTGTCCCTGGTTTTAGTGGGGATTCAGACCACTTTTGGAGGAAGGAGACCACCCCCATATTTTCCTTATCGGGGGCTCTCTTTTTTTTTCCGGGGTCAACATTATTTGGAGTAGGCCTCCGAAGGCTTTGCCCTTCGCGGAGCCCTTCGACTTGGCCTTGGCGCTTCGCCGGCACCTGGAGGCCGCCACCGCGGCGGTGGCGGTGGAGCCGGGAGGGGCACCTCGATGTGGGGGTTGGGCTCGGGACGGGGGGCATTTGCAGAACCCCGGCCGGGTTCGGGACCCGAACAACACGAGGCGAGTGAGTTGGTTTTTCCGAGGGGGACACAAAAAGGCGAGATTCAGGCCCCCGCATTGAATCGAGACTCTTGACCCTTAGAAAGGTTTCCCTGTTTCCTTTTTTCAGTGGTCCAAAACGCCCACTGGTTTAGTTTTCCCGCCTTGGTCTACTTTCAGTGAACGGGGCACGGGGCCAATGGTTTTCGCTCAGTTGTCCAAAAGCGGCGTGACTTTGTTAGTGTCCTGCTTTTGTTCTACTCCTTTGGGCACTGCGTTTCAGGCCTTTAGGTGTCAAAGGCCTTCATACTGAGGGTCTTGGGCTCCTATACGCATCTATACGCCATACCTGGACTTGGAAGAACTACCCATACAAATTGGAATTCACCAACCACAATTTTGCGTGTCAATTAGACATGTTTAAGGGTTGTTTGAGGGTCCAGGCACCTAACGAAGGCGCTTTGCTTGGGATCCCGTGTTTCAGGTTTCGTATTATTGCAAAAATGCAATTTTACGGAGGCCAGCTACATGAGATTCTGCAAACACACAGAGGAAAACGGGAACTGTTGGGCATTTCCTTTTGTGAATAATTTCCTGTGACTGGCTTCTTAGACGGCTGCGTACATAGGTGGCTTGAAAAGAGATGGATCGCCATTGGCTTCAGCTTGGTTCCCCTCATACCATTGATTTTCTTCAAAAGGACATCATTCCACAACGCGCAGGGTCCCTTTTCTTGCGGGTGCCCTTGCGGTGTGTTTAAGGTAAATCAATGGCAACTTATCCATCTTGGGTGTGTGTTTTTTTGTTTGTTTTGTGAGTACCCCAATTGGTTTCCCTTTAAAACCAGCAAACAAGGATAAACAAGGGTACTGTACCCGCAAAAAAGACGCACTCGCTTTGATATTAAACCTTTGGCCAGACGCTCGTGGGCCCTCCTAGGGAGGGTCCGGGGCCCTGCTAGGGAGGGACCGGCCTGTTTGTCGGATACGGGGCAGTGCTGTCGTGTCTTGTGCGCGGCGGTTGGGGAGATGGCGGTTCTGCGGTGGTCCAGGGCGCTTCCCACATGCCCGTGTGGGCTGACCCAAGGATTTGCGCATATGGACGGAGGAAATGTTGGAGGAGCAGCTACTTGTCTATCGAGCCATGGACAATGTTCAGTATCCCAAAGGCAAGCTTTGTGTTGAACATGTTGTTGGCAGCTTAAGTTTGTTGGACCCTTGGTGTTGGTCATAATTGCGCTCAATATCTTGTTGGCGTAATAGAGTTTGTCGGGTCCTTCGTGTCACAAAGGACAAGCTTGCTAAAACAATATGTGGCCAGTGATCTCAGTGATTCTATTTCCCGATCTAAGTAAACCAACTCAACCGCTCTTTCAAAACCAAAAGGAACATGTCGGAACATGGTAACCTGGCAGCTGACTCACTGTAGCTAGGATCCACTGGGTCTTGCAACCACCGCATGCAAGCAGCTGAGGCGTGGCCAAGGCAAGGTGCTCTGCCGTGGCTGCGGCTGCTTCTTCGGCGAGGGAACCTTGCCGAGCATGAAGCTGCAACAAGCAGATACACATGCGTGTCTTCCCAAGCAACCATTTCCGCATGAAGTTGCCCGGAATTAGCTCTCCTTGTTCTATTTTTCCGGTTTGTTGGGGGTCCCTAGCCAAGCAAAATATAGTTTTTCGCTGGGGTCCTACTTCCAGCCAAGTGACCTCCTTGATGGAAAACGAAGGTTCGGGAAACAACTTGTAACCGGTTTCAGGTTCCAGGAAGGTCGAATGCTTGGGTTCAGAATTGAAAGGCGCCTTGTTTTTTGAGCCTGTCTTGAACTTAGACGAGAGCATGCTAGTTGAGAGCATCGTGGGACAGGCAGAAGAACAAACTCCCCTGCCCTTTTGCCGCCTTGAGTCCTAGACTCGTGTTTCCTCTTGCGTCAAAGCTTGTTGCTTCTTATTCATTTCGTGAAAGGGTGCAGCTTTCATGGTTCAACGTGGGAAGAACGAGACCCCCTTACCGACTTGACCTTAAAGGGGGGAAGTCCTTTGCGGCCAGCCCCTCTGTCCCCCAGCAAGCTGACTCAGGAAACCCTCTGCGGACCCACGTTCAGAACGCCCAGAGCCGGTGCTTCAATGCGGAGGCTGCGGAATACTACCAGAAGGACGGGCAGGGAGGATGGCCCGTGTGCCTATGCCAAGCTCACCTGGAGGCAAACACTTCTTTCAGAAGGTTTGGGGACTACTGCACCCGGTGGATCCCAGGCAAGCCCATATAGTAGGCAACCCTCGCCTTCCGTTTGCTTTAGAATATGTTTTTTGCTTTCCCTTGTTGGTTTTAAAGGGAATCGATCACTACTGGAAATATGTTTACTTAACCAAATGGAAGTCGCTTTTATGTTCCTTTTGTTTTTTAAAGGGTGGCAAGCCCTTGGTTACCTAAAGTGTAAATGGATCCACTGGGGGAAGATTGAAGAGAAATCCAACCGTGTTTTTGTGCTGCCCACCGTTTCTCCTTTTTTTGGGGGAAGGGTTTCCTTTTGAACTCAACCGACCAGAAAAGGATACCCTTTTAACCATGGCCACTGGGCATCTGAGTTTTGGAAACAGATGGCTTTTCCATGAAGAGTACAACAGTCTCACAACCTTTGCTTCAGCGTGAAACGGCAGGCCAGTTCAGAGCGCACCAAGAGGTCCCCAAAACTATGGTCTTCAAGCGCCCTGTGAGTTGGATTTATGTTTGCGAGTGGGAGGGAGTTGACCTCATACCAGATTCAAAGTATTGGGCTTATGGCATTCCATGCCCGTGGAGCCCAAGATCGGTCTTTGACCCCCAGAGACCTCAAGAAACAAGGTTTTGGCACCCTAGGGATGTAATTGCCATTTCAGCTTGCAAGCGTTAAGCTGTTTGTTGCCAGGTGGTTTCTGTTCAGTCTTAAAGTCTGATCTTGGTCTAGCCACTCGGCAGCATTGCGAGACGGAGTCCTTGAGGAGTGTCAGGAGGAGACGCCAGCACCGAAAGCTGCACGCCGTCTCGACGACACTCGGCTCGAATGTCTCGAATCGAGTGAAAAACGGTGAGTGGACTTGAAGGACATGAAGAGTTTGGTGTGGCTCAAAATTAAAGAGGTACAGGTTTTAGTCTTTGGTTCCATTTACCAGGGTGCCATGTTGGTACATCTTTTTGACCCACAGCCATTTTGGCGCGTCTTTGTTCGAGGGTACCGTTTTTAGGCCAACCAGAAGTTTAGAAGGAAAGCCATTTGGGGGGTGTCCCCTAAAGAGACACCCATTTGGTCACTGCGCGCCAAATGAACCAAAGGTCGTATTTGCAAGAGGGCACCTTGGTCAGAGTCAGTGTTGTGTTTCACATCTACGGCTCTAAAGATAGATCAGGGGGCAGGTCGATGCGACCACGCTATTTCCTCAAGGCGGCCCGTTTCTTTGTTGACTCTCGCTGTTTCTTTTAGCAGAGAGAACAGGTTGGTGGAGGTCGAAAGCACGGGGTTGAAAACACAGGACCCCGAACGGCCCCGGAGTCGGTTTGCGTCGGTCTGCCAGCCTGCTGACCTGGGGAACTTCAAAGAACTTTGCTGCGCTCTTGGTCTCTTTTTCCGTTGTTTGCTTTGTGGGGGAGAGAGTTTTCTCCATACCTACTTACATGTAATTATATATATATATAGATGTACACTAGTTGCTTTCTGGGGAAAAGATGTCTCAATATATCTAGTATATATATATATATATATGTATACAAGTTTGAGCATGTTTTCGGCAAGTCGAAGCAAGTGAGTCGGTGCCGGGGTATTGTTGTGCGGTGACGCGGGCTACAAAGGTATGTCCTAAGGTCCCGCTGCTGTGCTGGCCTGGTTAAAAAAGTGTCCCATCCGTTTGGACAACTCGGCAAGACAATCTTAAAGGTGAGGTTTCCTTTGTGCCCTTGACATGCAACTGCTTGGCGTGGATTGGAGATGTGCTTTACCCAATGCTTCCAGTTGCCACCTTTATATGTACCCAGGGGAATCCCTCACTTCCTGAGTTCATGAACTTTAAACTTTTTGGGAAGACCATTTTAGTGGTAAACAAACAGTTTGGACTTTTTTGGGGCCATCCACTCAGCCAGTGAAAAAACCTAGAGGTAAAAGTACCTGGTTACCAGATCGGTAATGTTGACCCCATATGACTCAAGCCCAGTTTATCAACGGGTGATGAATCCCAGAAAAAAAAACAGGGACACCCCTTCATTGACAAACTGGGGTTGATTCATCCGGGGCCAACCTTATTCATACCTCCTACTCAAAACACCCTTTGTTTCAGGGTATTTTTGGGGAAACCGATCGGCTTTCCATGGTAAATACCTCCTTTTTCATTAGAGGGTTGACATGATACCCTGAAAAAAGAGGGTACTCGGAGTAGGGGGTAAGTGGCAGGGCAGGTCATCCTCGAGTTTTTTGTCAGTGCCACAAGTGCCTTAGGCGGGCATGGAGGCTGCCAAAGCGGGGGACTTGGAAAAGCTGCGCCTCGACTTGACGTCTGACGTTGATGTTGGCTTCAACCATTCCCAAGCCACAACGAACCAACCAACTGCCCAACCAACCAACCGACCGACCGACAGACAAGCAAGTATGACAACCAGACTAGGAGACAAACATACGCAAAGCCAATTTGCCAGCAAACAAACAGCTTAGCAAACAACAAACCAACCAGTGTGTGGTCAAGCGGCGAACATGGTCAAATTGGTGAGTCCCCTAGTTTTTGTGGGGGGGAAACTTCGTAGTACCCAATGTCCCCCCCCCCCAATAGAGCTTTACCCGACTGAAAAAAGCAGCAACTTGGCTATCTACCTTGAGCCTTTTCCCAAAAGAAACCCAAAGGAAAGGCTATTGCTCTTTCCAGACCCACGGTGAAATCCTTCCTTCGAATTGGTTTCTTTGTCTTCGGGTAGATCCTCTTTCGGGCCAGGTTTAGATCAAAGCTCTGGTCCAGAACTGCGCCACATTTTTTGCGCCACCACTGGAAGTTTTTGGATTAGTGGTTGTTTGTCACTATTTATTGCCCGGCGCGAAGCTTGACTTTCAATTGCTCAAGATGATCTGTTACCAGTTTTGGTGGTCAGTCAATGCTGACCCTGGATGAATAAACCCCTGTTTATTTATAGGGGGGGTTTAGTGGGAACCAACAGGGGTTCATTCATCCGGGGTGAACATTACCACTTTCAGTTGTTACCCGTTCAGTAACCGCTTTTTGGTGGTCCCTCAGTTTCCCCAGAAAATGGCATCCACCACTGAGCAATTCCTCTCAGGCCATTGGGTGTGCTCGCAGGTCGTGTGAGAGCCTGTGAGCAAGTCCGATTCAGACGATTCATGACCTGGGCGTGTGTTTGTTTAGCGAACTGAAGGTACAGCCTGCAATCTTTATGGTTTTTTGTGGACCTTGTCTCCAAAGGAAAAGCATTACAAAGGAACACAGAAACGATCTGAAGTGCATTCAGGGTTTCATGCCAATGGCAGTCATCATCTCTTTGGTCGAGCGCTCTCCCTGCTTTAGGCTCAGTGCCCATGCAGACCCCCAAGGTGACGGGGGGGGGGCTGAAAAAAGCTCCTTGCGGCTCGATGGGCGGTTTCCCGTTGGTTTCCCTTCAAAACCCGTCCTTCCAGTTGCTTAAGAATATTGTTTTGATTTTCCCCTGTTGGTTTTAAAGTGAATCTATCACTACTGGAAATCTTGTTATTTTTTCCAGGGGTCGCAAAACCAAATGGAAGCGTCCCTCAACAACGGGCCGAGGCGCCTGCTCATAGAAGATGGCTGGGATCCCTGTGGCTTGGACTCAGAAGCTGCAGCGCAAGCCAGCGGCACCCGGACCTGTGTAGGATCGGCACGCAGAGGTTTTGGCGGGTGTTTGGCTCCATACGAACCAACCCAAACGGCCCAACCAGATATTTGGGTGGTTTGGGTGTTTTAGGAGGGGTCGCACCCGAGAGTGTTTTGGGAGCCAAACAAGTCCTCGTCTCCATGTGAGGTCCCTTGACATAATGTCCAGTAAGGTCAGTCCAGGATTCGGGACATTGGATCGCATGAAATTGCACGGCCCTCTGGGACACAAAATGTCCCATACTGCGGATGGTTTAGGATGATTCCCTTGCAAATACTACAGCCAACAACGGTTTCGCGTGGTTTCAATGCGGTGATACTTTGAACGTAACCCGCTTACCGCACTGAACTGTTGTTTCTTCGAAGCTGGACCGATCAGGGTCCCTCAGATGGTTTCCAGGGGACTTCGGGGTGCTATATCGTCGGTGCAGGCACCACAACGCCACTGGCGCTAGTTTTTGGGTTACGGTTCTTGATTGAATTCCCCTCTTGGTGGCTGTGCACATCCACATTGTCGGCCCATGTAGTCAGAGTTTCCCTTGGTAGTTGTGATGAGTTAACAGGAATTCTAGGTGTGTCTCAAAATAGGCGCCCCCGTGATTGCGTGGTTTCTCTTCGTTTTCCCTTTAAACCCTCCAAATTGAGCACCTGGACCCAAACTACCCGTAAAAAAGGGGTTGTTGCCCCACAAGGATGGATGGTGATTTCCCATTTTGCAGGGTAGTTTGAGGGTCCAGGCAGGCGCATATCTCACTTCCTGAGTTCCTGTACTTTAGTCACTTTTTGGGCTTGGACCAGTTTAGTGGCTAACCAGTTTGGGGCCTTATTCCAAGCTCTCTACTGGAGGACCTAGGCGTGCACCCAGCCAAACAAAAGATTTGTCGCGCTGAGGTCAAGGCAATGGAGTCCGCCATGGAGCCTCAAGCTACCCTCAAACATGGGAAATCACCAACCATACTTTTGGGTTGCAATCACCCATCCATGGTTTTGTCAAACTTACATCTTAAAAACACCACTTTTCTCAACTTTTTGGGGGTGGCATGGGCTATATGTCTGTAAAAGATTAACTTCCCCAGGGCTTGGAGTTTTGAGGGGTAAGCAAATGGTGCTCGGATTTCGCAACCATCAGCCCTGTCCCAGGCACGGTGGACCACAACGGCAACGGCCCGCTGCACTGGGCGGCGGGCGCTGGGCACTTGGAGCCACGGCAATCGACACGACTGGGGCGGCTGTGCGCGTTTGTCGCATTTTTTTTAATAACACGCCCATTTGCTTCAGAAGATTTGTCCTTTTTGGTTTTGAAGGGAATCCACCACTACTGGAATTATGTTGATTTGTTTGTCTCACTTTTCTAGGGGAAGCTTCCGTGTCCATTCTTTTCAGGGATCCGAATCTTTTCAGAAAGCCATCAAAAACCGAGGGAAACAACGACCGAAAAGAAGGATGGTTGAAAAGAATGGTATAACTTTTTCAATTGAAACAACAGAAGCAACTTGCTGGTGCGAGAGATGCAGGGAATGAGACGTGGAATGACCCTTACAAACCATCCAACTGGTGGTTTCCGACGCTTGTTTCAGATGCGGATTTTTACTTTCACTCAACTGGAGGGCGGGGGGGGGTGTTACAGGGGTCCCTTATCCATTTGGATTGTTTTCTATGTGAGCAACGGCTTTTATTTGTTACATGGCATAATGGACGGGTGTTCCTGACTCGTTTTCCAACCCAGCGCTCGGTCGCAGCCCCCTATCTCGTTTTCCAACACCGCGCTCGTTTTATCTGGCTCAACTTTCTGTAGAGCTTGAAGAAGAGGAGCTTAAAGAAGTAAACGAGCTTTGGTTAGCTTGCAGCCTCCTTTGTCTCCTTCGTTGTTGCCGCACAACCTTTCGCTAAGCAAACTGCTGCTACACAATTTGTTGAAAAGTAATACTTGAGAGGAGGAACTGGGCCAATACTCACTTGGACGCTGTAGGGGACTCGTTCTGAACTCGTTTTGAGCTCGTTTTGGAACTCGCTTTTAACATGGCCCGCTTTTGGACGGCTGAAAATTGCCCAGGGGCAAATCTTGAACAAACCAGCTACGATGCTTCTTCGCAAGTTTGATTCACACCCTTTTGCAGTTAGGCATCGTAGGGTTAGCCAGTACTTGCCCCGGAAAGTCTGTGGTAAGTTGCCACGGACCATGCGACGTAGGTCGTCTACTCTACACTACATCTAACAACCTTGAACCCAAGACGCTCTGCCAGGCTGCACTTGCCAAAGTGTCATCCTAATCCATGTTATCATGCTTGTTTGCCCTATCTCGTTTTCGGGGTGTTCCCCAACTCGTTCTGCGGCTAAATATGCACATTTGCAAAAAATAGTTCCAGCCCCTTGCATGTTTCCATTAAGGTAAATAAAGTTGGTCGCTCATGTGTGTCTTTGTTTAGGGTATCCCAGAAAGTGGTTTTCCCTTTAAAACCACCAGCAAGGGCGACCCTCAATAAAAGACACCCATTTGAGGGGTTCAGGGTTAGGGTCTTCAGTGTGTTTGGGTTTGGGTGTATGAGTCGGGTTGGCAACTGTCCCTTATTCACACTTGTTCCTTCAATTGCTCTCGTGTAACCAGCCGCAAAATCCCATCGACGCCTCCACTCCCATGAAGACCGGACCAATTCCTCAGGCAACTTGAGGGCCCCAAGAATCATCGAGTTGGAGCCTTGCAGCAGAAGGACACCAAAAAAACCCAAAGACATATTGATTTCAAGTCAAAGCAATAATGCTTTGATCTGCCCTCCCCCCCCCCCCCCTCCCCCCAAAGAAAAGCCATCTCTGGGCCAGGGGCCCACCTCAGGAGCTGTGCCGTTTTCTGGCGGCTCTGAAGATGGACCCCGCCAAGCCCACGCCGCTCGGATCGATCCCCGCTTTCCCTCTCTCTCTTTCGGGTGGTGAGCGCATGCACAGAATATCCTAGACCGCCAAAGGACCGATTCCTTTTTTCCGCCTTTGTACCCTTTGTTTTGGGTCAAAGGCAGAAAAAAGGGGTCCTTTAGAGGTCCAGGATTGTGGATGGTGGCGAAATCCGCTCGCACCAACGTTCAGAAGATTTCAGAAGCCCTGGTTTCTGATGGTCCCCTTTGTAAGTACCTGGATCTCCTGGAAGTTAAGAATTCCTACTCCAAAATTGAAAAAGTACTTTTTGGCCTGAGGACACGGGTATTTCCACTTTCGAACGGGTATTTCTACTCTTGAACGGATATTTTTACTACCATCGAAGTGTTCATAAATCAGCACTGCACATAAATTATCAAAGGCTTATTGCGTAATGTTGGCGTATTTTTTACGTACCTCCGAACGGGTCCGAACGGGTACGAACGGGTTCGAACGGGTTCGAACGGGTTTCGAACGGGTTTCGAACGGGTTTCGAACGGGTTCCGAACGGGTCCGAACGGGTCCGAACGGATGCCTGAGCAGTCGGAACTACCCGAACGGGCATTTTAACACGGAGTGAAAATTATCACTCCAGCATGGAAGAAAGTACTTTTTTCTTTTTGGAGTGGGAATTATTAACTTTCAAGAGATGCAGGTACCAGCAGTTGCAATGGTTTCAGCCATGGTTGCCAAGTGGTGCGAAATGAGTTTCGTCCATCCACAGTACTGCATACTCGTCCGCCAGGATTCGTAAATGTTTGTGTTTATCAGATGCGTTCGCTTCCCCAAAACGAAGCCAACAGGGAAGGGACAAGCTTTGTTTTGCTAGACCCTTTACTTGACACCCAGATTCCAGTGGGTTCGGGGGTGGGTGGGGGTCGGGGTGTGGGGGTGGGTGGGTGGGTGGGGGCGGGTGTGTGGGGGTGGGTGGGGTGGGCGTGTGGGGGTGTGGGGGTGTGGGGGTGGGTGTGTGGGGGCCTGCAGCTCCAGTTTTTGAAGGCGTTTGGGTTTCATGGAAACCAGCCAGTGGAACTCCTGTAGAATGTCCTGTTTTGTTGGCTTCTTAGATGGTTGTTCTCAAGCCCTTTTTCACAAAGTCAAGTGAGCAACTCTAGAGACTCGCAGGCCCAGGCGGGTTTCAGGTGAACTGTTTCCCCCGCAACCATTTCCGGTGAAAGAAACGCAACCCTCGGAGCCCAGGCGATTTGTTTTCCCCAAGCCCCAGGGTTGTGGGATCAAGGGGTTCATCCCCACTTCTGTGATATCTTCGGGAATCTCCCCCCTTATACGATGGGTTAGTCTTTGGGAAGCCCTTTTCGTTGTATCACAGAAGTGGATTCCATGTCCCACAGCCCTGCCAAGCCCACGCAAGGTCTTCGAGATTTGCACCCCTCGCCGATTTCCCTCCCCCCTCTCCCCCACCCCCCCTCCCCTCCCCCCTCTCCCCCTCTCCCCCCTCCCAAGCTGCAAGGGCTTGTGCCAGGTCCAAGCACAACGGGCGCACGCCCCTGCACTGGGCTGCACGGAACGGGCATGTGCCGAGCTGAGTCGGTTTAGGGAGGTACCAAAGCTTGGGGGAGGGGGAGGTTTGGAGGTTGGGAGGTTAGAACCTCTTCTTTTGCCCATCAGAAGCCACCCTCATCTTGAGGGCACTTGGAGCTGTAGGGCCACTGTTGTTGCCATGTTTTGCGGGGTCGTTGTTTTTTGCTGTTGTTTGGTTCTGCGCATTTGTTGGTAGCGGGCAGCAAAAAAGAAGAAGCTGTTTTTTGCTACCATACCTAGGTTTGGAATTGTCCAAACAACAATATGGATTTGAGGGTGGGCCAGAGAGTTGTTCCTTTCCCCATGTTGGTGGGTCTTTCTTCAAAATCAACCGGCCCGGAAACAAAAGCCAAACAAAAAAACATAACAAAAAAACAAGAGATGTCCCATGTTCTCTGGGAGATGCAGGACATGTGTACTAACTAAGCCAAAATCGCCACTGAGAGCCGCATGCCCTAAGGTGGCCGTGTGCGCCTTTCTCCTGGACCTCTGCGGTGACGATATGGCGGCCCGGCACACCGGCTGCTTTCGGGGCACACGGAGCCTCCCGGAAAGCCCCAGCCAATAGCTGTGAGCAGAGGTGTCCTTTTTTGGTTTGTTTTGGTAGAAAAATAGATGGGTTTCGATTCCTGGCTGGTGGTGGTTTAATCATCGACCAGGGAAACCCATCTATTACCCCTAAAAGGACACCAATAGCTGTGAGGCACACACTTTTAAACAGACATTGAGATTGGCTCATGGTGCAAGGAGGTACTGGGTATCCTCCGAAAGTTGTGAGGCAGCGACCTATTTATCCATGGCCGGATCCAGTATCGGGTTGCCCTGAATTGGTGGTTGCGTTGGTGGCTTGGGCATTTGAAAGCCTGGTTTGTGCAGACGGCAATAAGGAAGCCCGGAACACTTCCAAGCGGGGCTCCAAACCTGCTCTGGGGTTCAAGTCACTTCTCGGGGGTACAATGGGATCCATTCGGCAGGACACTTTTCGTGTCCCAAGGCCACAGGGTGCCTGGAGCCCCAAACCAACAAGGAAACGGGAATTCGCCTTATGAATTTGGCAGAGTTGCCCCATTTTTCCATGGGTAATGTTGACCCTGGATTAATAAACCCCTGTTTATTAATATGGGGGTGTCCCCGGTTTTAGTGGGGATTTATCACTTTTGGAGGGGAAAACACCCCCATATTAATAAACAGGGGTTTATTAATCCGGGGTCAACACTATTTTGTTGGGTCAGGCACCTTCCAAAAAATCAATTTCTGCAGCGAACCGGAAAACCGGAAAACCCCACCTATGCATTCCGACCAACCGCCAAACCGGAATCGCTGAGGTGGACGCGGAGACGGTGACCAAAGACACCGCGCTGATGCTCGCGGCATGGCAGGGCCATGTGCCTTGATCCCAGGTCTCGATCGCAGTCTCGGCACGTCTCGCAGCAGGGCGCCCACGGAGGGTCAGTGGCGTCCCTTTCGACGAAATCCAGAAATACATCCATTCTTATGTTCCCCTGTTGGTTTTAAAATTAAAGGGAACCGATTTCACTACTGGAAATATTTTATTTTTTGCCCAGGGGACTTAAGCAAATGGAGGGAAATCTCAACCACTTGGAAGCCATGCTTGAAACCATTATTGTGAGGGGAATCATGATTTTCGGGTTTTTTCTTAGGTGGTGCGGAATTACGCAACCACCCACAGTATGGTTGTCGATTTGCATCTGTTTTTCGGCGTGTTCCAACAGGTGGTCACCTTTCATGATGCAAGGTCATGACAAGTTTGAGACATGTTGAATTTGGTTTTCCATCCCTAGCCCCTTGGACCTTCCCTTTTTTGGGAATCCCAAAACGGTTCATTCCCTCATCTGAGCCCATTTTCGACTGCGGGTTGGGATAATTGTCCCCCATTCCCACACCCCTTAACCTGGACCTTCCATTTTCGGGAATCCCAAAAACGGTTCAACTTATTCCAACCAACGTGGCACAATTTGTCCTTTTGAAGTGACCCCTGGGTGCCATGTTCGTGGGAGGGTACCAACGTATTCCAACCTCTCTACTGGAGGACTTAGTGGGTTGAGATATCTTCCCCGGAATTTGCTCCCCTTTTTTTCTTCGCGTTTTTGGGGTCCCTTTGTTTTTCACTCTAGGCAAACACAAAACTGTTTTTGTTGTTTGTTTGTTTGTTTGTTTGTTTTTGGGGGGGTCCTTTTTTGCTTTTTGGGGGTATTGTTTGTTTTTCACCAACCAGGCAAGACAGTTTTTTTTGCTGGGGTCCTAGTTCCAGCCAAGAACATACATTTTGCCACCATTTGACACATTTTGCTTTTTCAACACCAAAACAAAGTTGGAAACACCACCCTTTACAAGGCAATGTGCTGGAGGACCCAATGGGGCCGTGGGTTATGGGCGAGCTTTCATCTGGCGCCAGGTGGAGCTCGTCGAGTTCCTCGCTCGGCGCCGGGCGGACCTCCAGCACCTGAGCCTCGTCTTTGTTCCCCCGAAGAACGTGGCCTTGGGAAGCCAAGCCTTCCCCAGAAGGAGCTCCCCTGCGTATTTTTTTGCTGCTTTAAACAAGGGCTCTCCTTGTTTTCCACTCACCCGGCGGTTTTTTTGTTTGGCTGGGGTCCCTTTTTCCAGCGCAGGACAACGTGGAAAACGGGGAGCCACACCGAAAACCAGACCCAAGGACCTGGTTGGGGAAGGGCCCAAGGTTTGGCTCAAAGGGGAAAACACGTCCGCCAATGCCATGGCTGTTGCTGCAAAGCAAATCGAAATCTGAAGCAAAGAAAAGTCGGGAGGACCCTTTGGGGGGATTTTTTTGCATGGGCGTTGGGACACATTTTGCAGTTTTGATCTTATTGTGGTTTGGTGGTTGAAATCCAAGCACTTAGCTGCTAGAATTTAAGTTTTTGCTCCCCAAACCCAACGTCAACCAAGTTTCAGTGCGGGACCCCGGATTGTTGTTCTCTGTGTTTTTGTTTTTTCCCGACAGACAGACACAAGTCTGGCTGGGTTGAGCGGAATATGGCAAGTTTGGCTGGACTTGGTGACCTGTTTTACATCAAAACGGCAGCGGTGTCCACGCATCGGCCAGAACTCGCTTCCCTTTGGCGAAGCCATACGGTGAGCTGAACATCCGAATACGGGAGCTCGGAAGATGTGTGTTTTCCCCTTCGGTGTCCCTTTTGATCCACAAAGAAGGGGTTCCTTCCACGCTTCGCCCCCACTCGTTCCCTCCAAAAAGACGAGCCACCCGCGTTTCCGCCCGTTTTCCAAGGAATGCCTCGGGCTGCAACGCCATGTGGCGCGGCAAAGCAGAAGCCAGGGCGAGGGGCGGCTTGTTGGTTGCGAAGCGAAAGAAAAGGTAACCCCTACTCAAAAGGCACGCTTTTTTGAGGCTATGTTTGGGAAAGCCGATCGGTTTTCCATGCTAAATACCTCCCTTATCATGTAGAGGGTCGACATGATACCCTGCAAAAAGAGGGTATTTGGAGTAGGGGGTAGTGGTCAGGTAACCCTTCGTTGGTGGTTTGGATTGGCGGACAGTGAGGATTTGAACCCACTGGATCTTGTGGAGGGTAAATGGGAAACCCCATCCTTAACCTTCAAACCACCAACCAGAGGAAGCTGAGGCATGCTTGAGTGAGTGTTCGTTGCCAAGTTAGTAGCTTGTTGGGCAACCTACTTACAAGTCCCCGTTCGGTGCGGTTAAGTTTGTTAGTGGGTTGTAGTCCAAGTGGCTGACCACTTACTAACTTGCCTGAAAAACCAAGCCAGGAGCGTTTGGGTGGGTTGCTTGGGTGTTTTGTGATTTGTTTGTTTGTTTGCTTGCTTCATTGCTTGCTTGCTGCTTGTTTGATCGCTTTCTTGCTTCCTTTCTTCCTTCCTTGATTCCTTGATTCCTTGCTTCCTGCTTGGTTGGTTGTTTGTTTGATTGGTTGCTTGCTTGTTTGCTTGCTTGGTTGCTCTGTTGCTTGTTTGTTTGTTTGTTTGTTTGTTTGTTTGTGTTTTTGTTTGTTCTTTCTTTCTTTATTTGTGTATTTATTTATTATTGATTTATTCATTGTTCTCTTTCTTTCTTTCTTTCTTTCTTTCTTTCTTTCTTTCGTTCTTTCCTTTTCTAGTTCTTTCGTTCTTTTTGCTCTTTCTTTTTCCGTGTTTGTTCCTTTCCGAGGCCTGATGAGGCAACACATGGCCGGCACATCCCCTGTAGTATCAACCCAGGATGAAGACACTACACATCCCCCTTCAAAGGAACTGGTTTCTAGTAACCGCTGTGCAGGCTCTATGTGTGCTCGGGCATGGTAATAGAGGGAGGGACTGCCTCCCTTCAAGGAAAGGGCGACCCGGCGTCCCCTTCCTTTGCAAAATTCAGCCGGTTTGTTTCACTTAAGATCCATCAACAAGTGAAGCCGGCCAGTAAAGGATTCCAGCCCCTGAATGCCCTTAAAGGTGCGTTCCAAGATGCGTTTCCTTTCCCAGTGGATCCCAGGCAAGCCGAAAGAGTTGAGTTGCTTCCAATGAATATGATAAATATTTTCATTGTCGTGGCAATAAAAAAAAGCTCCAAATTCATATCCCAACGCAAACAAGTTTGCTTCGTCATTTAATAATGATTCTAACTCTCGAAATTATTCAAATAGAAGTAATACGAATAATAAAATGAACTTTCCTGGGACTTGGTTGTTTCACGCTCTGGGTTGTTTGGCTTGCAGTGCTGCCAACTTGAAGGCCAACGCCAGTCAGGGACCCAAACTACTTTGCCCGAGATGGCAGCAGGAATAGCGGAACAGCAGAGCAGCAGTCAGTGAAGAGCAAAGGGCAGCAGTGGCAGTATGAAGCGGACAGCGTCGGCGATGAGGGCGATAAAGCGGCCGGCCGCGAAGCCCAAGAAGAAACTCGCTTCGAGGACTGCTGGGCTCAAACTGCAAAAGCCGAATCCTTCTCGGGAATGTCCTTGTCTCCTTCTCGGCCTTTTGTGGATCAAGCAACTACGCTTCGGATGGGGAGCCAGAAGCAAGATATGTTTCAAATCTTGCAAAAAGCCAGAGCCATGTGAGCTGCCGCTGTAACCGGAAAGATTACTTCCAGCAATTGGCAGGGCAGAAGGTCCAAGTAACCTAAAAACGTGAAGAATGGGGCAAGATCAACTCAGAGGACACAGTCTGACTGTCACTTGTCGGTGGTGTTTGTTTGCTGGATGGCATCCAGTACGGTTTCTTGCGGTTTCCCTTACTTAGGGGTATAGGTTTAGCCCTTTTGGTGGAAGCAGGTGCCCCAAACCTTACTTTTTAAGGAGCCCGTGGCGCCTGCAATGTTCAACTGCGACCAAACATATTGTTTTCCAGTCTGAAACCAAAGGTGCTTCGGCGCCTTCTCCCGCCTGTTGTTCGTACATCACGCTCCCCAGAGCGAGTTCTTTGGAGAGTACTGCCCCTCCCCCCCTGAGGCAGGGCCTGTAGCGCCGATACGCAAACAGGCTTGTCGAGAGAGTTTGACGGCCGTCGTGTCTGGCACACGCGGGTGCCAAACAGGCTGGAACGTTCAGGTTAAATATCAGAGGCGAGAAATAAGTCTGCATCGGCGCCACCTTCAGGCGCCATCAGGTACTGGGGTTGCCAAATGGGTTTGAGTTGTCGTGTTTCTCTGGGAGACCTACCAGTCCTGCCCTGAATTGATGCCTACAGACTTCAAGCTGCCCAATGGGCGATACGTGGTGTCCCAGCGCTGGACCCTTCTTGGTGGGAAGGACTGGCTACTTTTTGTGTTGCAAACCCTGCGCTTTCTCGGCGCCAGGAGAAATTGCGCCTGCAGGCGGAGGATTTCCTCCGGTATTCTCTGGAAGCCTTAAACAACAGCCAGCAGAGCAAGTTGGCAGGAAACACGCGGCGCCCCTCAGTTGTGCAACACGGAACTTTCCTTTCTTTGATTGATTCGTTGTTCAGTTCTTGTATCTGTGCGGCAGCAGCTTTGACTGTTGTGGCATGCCGAAAGCCTACTGTCTGGTCATCCCGCAATGCGCACAGAAAACAACCATTTATTCAGAGCCCGTAGAAGGCTCACCTGAAATGCGGGCGGACCAGGACCATAGGCTGTTTAGCAAAAATAATCTGTCCAATTTGGCAAGTTGCGGTGAAGGAAAAAGCCTGCGACCCTTCCATGTTCTGTCCGCTTGTTGCAACACCTACTTACTTTCCCACGTTCTGACATTAAATCTTGAGATTTGGTTCAAGGGCCCAGGAGAAACACCATGACCCCCAAGAATATTGCGAGAAGCGGAGGAATTGCCTCCCAAGCGAAAGCTATCACATCGGGGGGATGCCAACAGGGCCGTTTGCAACAACCTGGATGATGCTTGCCCTTTGACCAGCGCCATGGAAACTTGCGTGGAAAGCGCGCATTCATTGAGGCATGCTTCTGGAACGTCTCTCCCACCTGATGCTCAGCCTTTGCCGGAATTGCCTTTGAACGCTGAGGGAACTCTGTACCTTTAGGGCCATGCCTTACGGGGGGACATTGAAAGACATAGCTCACCGCGCTTGGCTTGTTGATTCCAAAAATTGGACTTTTGGAAGGGTGCTGGGACATGGTAGCACCAGGTCTCTTAAATGACGGTTCCTCAGCAGCTACACTAAAAGAGAAGTTCTGCAGTCTAGAGGTGGCCCTTCCACAAACGCTTCAGTGTTTCGATTGGTTTTACACTCTTCGCCTGCCAGGCTTGGACCCCTCGGAGCCAGGTTTAACCTTTGAAAAGCTATATCTCAGTCACCCGCCTCCGGGAACACAAAAAACACGCTTGGGTGGCACCGAACACCCAATTCCTCGGCGAAACTTGTGGGAGAGTAAAACCGAAGTTTGGCTGAGGACCCCACCCCACGGGGTGCCAGAAAGCACTTTCCTTAAAATAACAAAAATCTTGGATAACAACACGCGGCTTCTTGGGGGGGTGGGGGGGGGGTTTGGCTGAGGACCTCGCAGAGGTCCTCGGCGAAACTCTGAAGCCAAGGGAATTGAGTTTCGCTGAGTTTTTGGGCTCCCGGCAAATTCTTTATGGTTTCGATCTTGCTCAACTTGAACGATTATTCATCTTTAGCAACCTGGTATTTTTCTATTTTTGAAGTATTTCCAGACCCTTCCTGAAACCAGGCAGCGCAGAACCATTTAGCGTAGCTGCTGAGGAACCGTCATCTAAGAGACCTGGTGCTACCATGTCCCAGCACCCTTCCAAAAGTCGATCTGTGGAATCAGCAAGCCAAGCGCGGTGAGCTATGTCTTTCAATGTCCCCCCGTAAGGCATGGCCCTAAAGGTACAGAGTTCCCTCAGCGTTCAAAGGCAATTCCGGCAAAGGCTGAGCATTAGGCGGGAGAGACGTTCCAGAAGCATGCCTCAATGAATGCGCGCTTTCCACGCAAGATTCCATGGCCCTGGTCAAAGGGCAAGCATCATCCAGGTTGTTGCAAACGGCCCTGCTGGCATCCCCCCGATGTGATAGCTTTCGCTTGGGAGGCAATTCCTCCGCTTCTCGCAATATTCTTGGGGGTCATGGTGTTTCTCCTGGGCCCTTGAACCAAATCTCAAGATTCAATGTCAGAACGTGGGAAAGTAAGTAGGTGTTGCAACAAGCGGACAGAACATGGAAGGGTCGCAGGCTTTTTCCTTCACCGCAACTTGCTAAATTGGACAGATTATTTTGCTAAACAGCCTATGGTCCCAGTCCGCCCGCATTTCAGGTGAGCCTTCTACGGGCTCTGAATAAATGGTTGTTTTCTGCGTGCATCGCGGGATGACCAGACAGTAGGCTTTCGGCATGCCACAACAGTCAAAGCTGCTGCCGCACAGATACAAGAACTGAACAACGAATCAATCAATTAAAGGAAAGTTCCGTGTTGCACAACTGAGGGGCGCCGCGTGTTTCCTGCCAACTTGCTCGCTGGCTGTTGTTCAGGAAATCTTCCGCCTGCGGGCGCAATTTCTCCTGGCGCCGAGAAAGCGCAGGGTTTGCATTTGCAACACAAAAAGTAGCCAGTCCTTCCCACCAAGAAGGGTCCAGCGCTGGGACACCACGTGTCGCCCATTGGGCAGCTTGAAGTCTGTAGGCATCAATTCAGGGCAGGACAGGTAGGTCTCCCAGAGAAACACGACAACTCAAACCCATTTGTCAAACACATTGTTTTCCAGTCTGAAACCAAAGGTTGGGTGCTTCGGCGCCTTCTCCCGCCTGTGGTTCGTGCATCACGCTCCCCAGAGCGAGTTCTTTGGAGAGTACTGCTCCCCACCCGAAGCAGGGCCTGTAGCGCCGATACGCAAACAGGATTGTCGAGAGGTGGGGTTTGACGGCCGCCGTGTCTGGCACACGCGGGTGCCTCAGATTCTGATAGGCTGGAACGCCCATCTTCAGGCGCCATCATGTGCTGGGGTTGGCTTGCAGGGTCATACTGCTGGTCGCAGTTGAACATTGCCCGCACCACGGGCTCCTTAGTTTTAGGGCATCGGTTTCCACAAAAAGTAAGGTTTGGGGCACCTGCTTCCACCAAAAGGGCTATACCTATACCCGAAGCAAGGGAAACCGCAAGAACCCGTACTTGCTGCCATCCAGCAAACAAACACCGCCGACAGCTGACAGTCAGACTGCGTGCAGTTAAGAAACTTTGTCCTCTGAGTTGATCTTGCCCCATTCTTCACGTTTTTGGGTTACTTGGGCCTTCTGCCCTGCGAATTGCTGGAAGTAATCTTTCCGGTTATATACAGCGGCAGCTCACCAATGCTCACATGAGGCGAGGTATGGCTCTGGCTTTTTACAAGATTTAAAACATATCTTGCTTCTGGCTCCCCATCCGAAGCGTAGAACATTTGCTTGATCAACAAAAAGCCGAGAAGGAGACAAGGACATTCCCGAGAAGGATTCGGCTTTTGCAGTTTGAGCCCAGCAGTCCTCGAAGCAAGTTTCTTCTTGGGCTTCGCGGCCGGCCGCTTTGTCGCCCTCATCGCCGACGCTGTCCGCTTCATACTGCCACTGCTGCTCTTCTGCTCTTGACTGACTGCTGCTCTGCTGTTCCGCTATTCCTGCTGCCATCTCGGGCAAAGTAGTTTGGGTCCCTGACTGGCGTTGGCCTTCAAATTGGCAGCACTGCAAGCCAAACAACCCAGAGCGTGAAACAACCAAGTCCCACGCAAGCTCATTATAAGAATAATAATAACAGTAACTCTCGTAGAGAGTTGCAACCCTGCAGCCTTTTTTCCTCACTCCCTGAGTTCATGGACTTTATACTTTTTGGGGTTGGACCATTTTGGTGGTAAACAAAAAAGTTTTTGGTTACTTTTTTTGGCCCATCAGCTCAGGAAGCGAGTGTCCCTTTTTTTGATATATCAATATACCAAGGGCGGCAAGCCCTTGGTTACCTACAGGTGACTGGATTCGCTTCCTTTCCACTTGGATCCCAGGCACAAGGCCGCGCGCATGGACGGCGCTCAAAGCTCCCTGCAGATGATCCAGCGCCTTTGGACGGAAGTGGGATCCGGTCACTTTGGGCCGCAAGGCCCCAAGCCTCAAGTTGGGTTCCTGGGCTGGAAAATTCGCTTAAGAAAGACAAATGTTGTTTGTATTTTCCCCCTGTGGGGTTTTAAGGGAATCGATGACAAGATTGGAAATGGTGTTTTTTTTTTTTTTTGACATAGATCAGCAGCAACTATCGGGGCCCTGTCTCCAACAATCATGTTTGCGATAAAGAGGTCTTTGCAAGAGGATGGTGGTGCTTAAGAACATTTTTTGTATTTTCCCCTGTTGCTTTTTGAAGGGAATCGATTTCACTAGTGGACATTGTTGTCTTTTTCCCAGGGGGCGACAATGCAAATTGAGGATTGCCATTGGGTAAGGGATCAGCCACTTTTTGCAAGCTTAGCTTGGAAGCTTGGCTTCTCCTTCTCGACTCCACCTATGATTCGGGGATTCTGTTGGCGATTGGGCAACGGATCTTTAGACTTCAACTTTCAGGAAGACATAGTCAGGTGGGGAGTTTGGCTGGGGCGGCATATTTCAGATAACGCAGGTGTCCTAAGGTGAGCTCAATGAGAACAGAATTCTCATGTGGACCAAAGGGGGAAAAGCTTGCTTGATTTTGATTTCAGTAGGAATACAAACTGTGAAAACATGGCCTGTCGATCCTTTAGGTCTGAGAAATATTCAGCAGGGTTCCTACATTTCTCTTTTGGGTGGTTGAAAAAATACACACACCTTTTTGGCAACCATGAAAGCTGAGTGTTTTTTGGCGGGGGTGATGTTTTAAATTTAAGGGGATATAGGGAGCCCTGACTTTGGGGTTGAACCTTCATAGTTTTTTATGACTCGGGGCTTCATTGGCTCAACCCAACAGTCAGTGAGTAGTTCTCACTATGGCATTTTGCCTGCACGCTCATAGCGCCCTAGGTGCCTGTTGGAAAATCGAAAGGCTGTGCTGGTGAGTGCCCAACTGATTAAATCAAGTAGGTTTTCCGAGTTGAAGCCACAAGCTGAGAAGTTTTTCCAGAGGGGTCAGCAACCGAGGCCCTTAGAACCGAATTGTTCTGCTCGAAGGCTTCGATCAGAACCAAGCTGAAAGAGACACGGCTGCGGAACACAGGCCCGGGTCCACTTCCTGCAAAGCTTCGTAGAAGCTCAGCAGCGAAGAAAGGAGATGGTTGGCGGACAGTTTCCAACACCCTCCACTTTGTTTCGTTTCCGACCGGTTTCACTGCCTGGATCGCCAGTTGCGATCGAATTTTTCCATGAACTTTGCCCCACAAACCAGCAACAGTGCCTGAAAAAAACGATCGCAACTTAGCGATCTAGGTGTGGTGTTCTTGTTTTTTGAAAAATGCCGGTTTGTTGCAGGGTCCAGCTGGCAGGAAGTCAGCCGAACCTCTATGTCTTTCGCGTTCAACTCTAATTCCATCAAGGTCAGCTGAGCTGGGGAAGGTACCTCCGAGGTCCAAGCTACCAAACCATACCACTAACTAGTGGCACGGTGATCCTTTGTGAAAACCTGCCGGTCGATTTCGTTGAAGTGGCACTGCTGTTCTCTTCAGAAGCCCACCAAAGTCTCACTTCCTGAGTTCATGAACTTTAAACTTTTTGGAAAGACCATTTTGGTGGTAAACAAAAAGTTTGGACTTTTTTGGGCCAGTCAACTTGGGAAGTGAGAAGTCCAGGCTGGGGCAGGAAAATTGGGTCCTTTGTGAGCCAGTCATATGATGTGCTTCCATTTGCTTATGAGAATTATGTGCTTTTTCCTCGTTGGATTTAAAGGGAGCCCTATCACTGCTGTTTTTGCCAGCGACTTAAGCAAATGGAAGAGGTGTCCTACTCCTGGTGCATGTTAGTAAGGCGGTGTGCGGCTTTCGACTCCCCACCTGGGGTTTTGCTTGCCAGGTTTGCCCTATGTCTGCCATGTGCTTTCATGTGGCTGCGGAGTGATGTTGGCAAGGTTCGTTTTTGCGAGACGAATGCTTAATGCCTGAACCCTCAAACACCCATAACAATTTGTGACTGCCCCAACCCTATGGGGTGAATCCCCTTTGTTAAGGGTACCTAGGTAGCCAAGTTTTTTTTTTCACAGTCACTGTTGCTGGTTTTTGGGGTAAAGTTCATGGAGCAAGAACAGCAACTGGCGATCCAGGTAGTTTGGGGGAATCCGCGCCATGCTTTCCGTGCACGTACAGTTGGCGAGCGGGAAGGGGTGTTCCCTGGCCGTGTCGCCTGAGTCGAGCATCCATGAAGTAAAGACTGAGGCGCAACAGCGGCTCAAGCGACGCCGGTTGAGGCTTGCCTTTGGAGGTCAGCAGCTAGATCCATCACCTACGTTGAATGAGGTGGGCGTGCGAGATGTCGATAGCCTTCTTGCCGTCGTGCAGCATGTCAAGCTAGCTTCGACGTCAAGGGCTTTTTTCGCTGATGTTGGTGGAGATGCTGCGCTTATTTGGGGCAGCCATGGCCTTTGCGAGGGCTGGGACTGCTGGAAGGTGCCAGGGGTACGCGTCCAGCAGGTTCAAGCAACTCACAATGCTTTTGCTGCCATCCTGGCCGACAGCTCCGTGGAGACTTGGGGCACCTCTCGCTCGGGGGGTTATATCGGTCGGGTGCGAGAGCAGATCCAAGCAACTCGAAGTGCTTTTGCTGCCGTCCTGGACGACGGGTCTGTGGTGACTTGGGGCGATCCTTACGAAGGCGGCGACAGCAGCGAGGTGCAAGAGCAGCTCGTGCGTGTCCAGCAGATCCAATCAACTCGGTGTGCTTTTGCTGCCATCCTGGCCGACGGCTCTGTGGTGACTTGGGGCCCTTCTCGCTTGGGGGTTCTTGCGGCCAGGTGCGAGAGCAGTTGGTCCAGGTCCAGCAGATCCAAGCAACTCGGAGTGCTTTTGCTGCCATCCTGCAAAACGGTTCCGTGGTCACTTGGGGCGATTCTAGAAATGGAGGCGACAACAGCCAGGTGCGGGAGCGGTTAGTGCAAGTCCAAAAGGTCCAAGCCACTGACTTTGCTTTTGCTGCCATCTTGGATGGAGGCTGTGTGGTGACGTGGGGCAATCCTCTCTTTGGCGGTGACAGCGGCCAGGTGCAAGAGCAGCTGGTGCGGGTCCAGCAGATCCAAGCGACTCGCCGAGCTTTTGCTGCCATCCTGGACGACGGCTCTGTGGTGACTTGGGGCAATCCCTGCTATGGCGGTGACAGCAGCCAAGTGCGAGAGCAGTGCGTCCGAGTCCAGCAGATCCAAGCGACTCATTTTGCTTTTGCTGCCATCCTGGACAGCGGATCTGTGGTGACTTGTGGCAATTCACCGCATGGTGGTGACAGCAGCCAGGTGCGGGAACAGTTGGTGCGCGTCCGACAGATTCAAGCAACTCAGAGTGCTTTTGCTGCCATCTTGCATGGCGGCTCTGTTGTGACGTGGGGCAATCCTCTCTTCGGCGGTGACAGCGGCCAGATCCGCGAGCAGTTGGTCCGGGTCCAGCAGATCCAAGCAGCGCAGCATGCTTTTGCTGCGATCCTGGACGACGGCTCTGTGAAGATTTGGGGCGACCCCAGATTTGGTGGTGATAGCGGGGGAGTTCAGACTCAGCTTGACTCGTGGTGACACGGAATGGCTCGGGCTTTGTCCTGCGGCTTGCGTTCGCTTATTTTGTTTACTGTTTCTATTTTAAGAATCCTTGTTGGTTTTAAAGGGAATCTATCACTACTGTACTGGATTTTTCTCCTGGGGTCTTAACCAAATGGAAGGCAGGTGTGAGGGTGCGGTGCTTTTCAGCAAGTGAGTGGATCGCGGTGCTGTGGTTCTCTTAGCGTTTGACAAAACATCGTGCAGCGGATGTAACCGTGTGCCGGAGACTTGTCTTATTCGGCCTGGTTAAATCAATAGGCATTTACCGAAGGTGTCCAACAACCACCTAGTCACTAACCAAGAAACAGTGATTTCAGGTTCTATTCCGGAGGTCAACTGGGGCACGATGTTTCCACACCCCCGCTACCAAACAGTTGTTTTGTTGACATCAATCGCTTCATTCATCCTTTTGCGAGAGTTTCCCCTGCAGGAGTGTGCCGCTGCATGTTATAAATTAGGTTTAGGTTTGCCCCCTTCGATTCTGAGCCGGGTTTGGGTGCATCGGGTTGGCAAAAATGAAATCAACCCCGAAAAGGACTCCGATTCTTTTTCGACAGGGCTGCGCCGAGAAGCAAAGCCTAAGAGGTGACGCCCTTTCCCCGATAGAGATTCCTGGCATTTGAAAGGGAGTCCTGGCAGCGGTCGAAAAGGAGGTTCCTGGAGTTCCAAAAAGCGAAAAAAGGAGATTCCCGGAGAAGCAAACGACTTGGATGCATGTCTGCAGATATGTTCCATGTGAATCTTCAGGGGGGCCGCTGACTTGCGAACAAGTTCTCGGGTTTGTAAACCCACCACCTTGCGAGCTGATTTTCGAGCGGACAACCTATGCATTCGAAGTTTTCCAGGTTCTTTCATTCTTGCCTTACAGACTCTTTCCGGTGCAAAGCTCTACTTTTTCTGTGGGAAACCCCGCCAAGTACCAAGCAAGAATGCCGAATGGCTTTGAGCCACTCAGGTTGGTTCCTCCCCCACTTTGTACCGCTCACATTTTTTTCACCACCTGAGCAGCCTAGGAATGATTCGATTCCCCTGTAGATACCAATACGCAATGGTTTCAACCATGGTTTCCAAGTGGTGCGATTTCTGGATTTCGTCCATCCACAGCAAGTTCGCCTGGGGGGGAGGTTGGATGTAATCTGCCTGGCCAGCTCTGGAACCCAACGGAGCTCAGAGTAGGTGGAAATTTGCATACTCTGGATGGTTGCGAAATCCAGAAATCGTACCACCTAAGAAACCCTGGTGTCTGACGATTCCCCTGTAAATGCCAACAAACAGTGCGTTCCCATGTTTTTCAGGTGGTGCAGGATGTTGTCCATCCACAGTACTTCAGGTTTCGGAATCCTGTAAATAATGCAGCTGGATGTATAGGGAGGGGGCTCCACATCCTTAACAACCAGAGGGTCTGGGGCATCTTGAAGTCTGGCATACTTCCCATGATTTTTTCTGGGGGACAACTGGACAACAAGGTAATTATAACCATGAGGTCCGAGCCAAAGTCATGTGAACTTCGGATTATTCTGGGGGCACCACACTATCCGGTGGTTCCACTTTTAGTAGGGAAATGATCCGGATGAATCCGAAGCTAAGACTAGAATTGGGTTGTGGGGCAAAACCCTGGTACCCCCCTACCCCCCCCAGATTCCCTTTTGAAATGGACCAAACAACAGGAGGGTTATCCAAAAAAGGGTAATTTGCAGATTCTGTGGTTGAGATTAGGTACCTGATGGCTGCGCGGGTGGATGCGACAACTGTGAACTGCAACGGCCACAACGCGCTGCACAAGGCGGACGGCGTGTCTCGCGCGGACCCGAGGGATGCATAGGGACGTGAGGGGGGGGAGACGCTGGCGCACGCGTCATGTGGCCAATTCTGTGCAGTGGTCATGGCACAAATGCCAGAAAAGGATATTTCAAGGTTGGGAGATGTTGGGAGAGATGGCTAGAAGATACCCAAAAAACGATTGCGCAATTATATGTATATGTATATATATATATAGTTGTACGAGTTCTATGTCTGCTGTTTAAAGAACCCAGCACAGACGTGGGTTCTCGTGATTTGTTCTAATTGCGCCTGTTCTCCTCCTTGTTCCCCATGTTTCTCCTCACACTTCTCTTACCAAGCCGGCGCTTTCGAGGCGTCGCCCAAGGATCTTCGGATCTTCGGGCCCATTTCTTATTTCATGTCGGTGAATGGTCCGGTCAAGTTATAGGGAGCCCACCGGCTTGGAACGAACACGTGCAGGCCCTTTACTTGGATCCCGTGATCCAATTCGTATTTTTCAGGTTTTGGATGTATTGAACAGCGTTCTTGCTGAATCCGATGCACCCACACAATTGTGCTTTCGGGGTGTGTCAAACATCCACACCCCCTATGAATGGAAGATAGGATGTACAGGACGTACCCCAACGGATCTTGCCCCAATACATTTACTCTCTGGTCCCAGGCAAGAGAGTGCCTGGATGGCCCAACCTTAGCGCCGAGCCCCTTGCAGGGTTGGGTGGCTCAATCCATTCCCCAGAAATCCTAATTAAACACCCTCTTGTTTGTTGCTGTTTGAAACTCTAGGTTTTCCATTGACGTATAAACACTGCATGTTTTGGTCATTTGACATGATACCCGGACAAAAGTGGGTATTCGGAGTGCGGGCCCCTCTTTGATTTGCCTTGGAGGCGGGCGGGAGCGAGCCGGGTTGCAGTTTTTTTCAACTATCCTCCGTTACGTGAGGGCCTGCAACCTGCCACCGGCTCGTCTTTTTTGGAGGCGGCGCAGTTCGGGGCCAGCGCGGCGGCCAGCTGCTTGCTGGACGCGGGGCTCCGGAGCCGCGAGGCGTGGCTCGTTTTTTTTTTTTTTGGTTAATATATATATATATATATATATATTTGCGGGGGCCCCCGGGGGCGGTTCCTGCTTGTTGTTGGGAAACATTTTCCCATTGTTGCTTCTCGTGGGAAGTCCCCACTTAACTGCTAAATTTATTTGTTTATTCCCCTTCCCACATCAACCAAGGCAGAGGCAGACAGGAGATCCCAGGGCCTACCCTGGTGATTGCCTACTTTTCCTTCCATTTGCTTCAGGATATGTTTGTAGTTCCCGGTTTTCAAGAGAATCTACAATACTGGACATACTGTGGATGAGCGCAACCCTGCACCAGTTGGTACTGTGGGTGGACAAAAATCCGTTTCGCACCGCCCAAGACACCCTGTAAATACCAAGAAACACTGGTTTCAACCATATAGTTTCTAAGTGGTGCAGGATTTCGTCCATCCACAGTATTATGGCCTGCATTTTTACAAACAGCGGAGCACACCTGGATGTACTTCAGGCGTTGTGTGCAGAATTGACGGGGTCAGTGGCTGAGTTGTTCGATCAGCGCTCCCTGAGTCAAAGGCCCTCCCCAACTACCTTGCAGCGCTTTTGTTCAGGGTATCATGCAATAAGCCTCCACTAAGAAAGGGGGTAATTTGACATGGAAACCCAATTGTTATAAAAAAGCAAAGTAACAGACAGTGTATTTGGAGCAGGGGGGTGATTCCATTCCGGTTGATTGCGGGCGGTGTCCCCTCTTAGCCGGGGTTCAGTGTGACTTCCCTTCCGGATGTAGGATTCCCTCACAGGGACCAGAGCACCCTTATCGATCAAGCCAACACCACCCCTTACGGGCCCCCCCCAAGGATATGCCAAGAAGGGCACCACAGGGGCCTCTGGGTAATTTTGCATTTGCTTTAAGAGTATGTTTGATTTTCCCTTGTTGGTTTGAAGGGGCATAAGTTCTCATTTTTCCAGGGGCGATTTGAGCAAATGAAAGTCTACCAAACAGAATAAGCAGGGGTCACTGGATGTTTCCCTTTGGTCTAAAAGGGAAACCAGGACCCATGTTTAGGGTCCATTGTGACATGGAGCATATGTTGGGTCACACACTCATGGGTTTTCGTGGGTTTTCGATGGGCTTTCACACCGATCCCATGTTGAGTAAAGGGGCGAGTTTATCATACCCCAAAGCAGGCTGGCAGGATATTTGGAGCTTTCGGGGGTATTGTTGACCCCAAATGAATCAACACCAGCTCAGTATTATGGGGGTGTTTTTCTCGAAAAGTGCTCTGAATCCCCACGGTTCACCCAGTTGGACCCAGAACGCAAAAATAAACAGGAGTTGATAACTATGGGTCAACATCAAATTCCGAAAAACCCGAGAAGGGTTGGTGCTTCCCTTGTTTGGCTGTTTATTAATCCGGAGTCAATTATGTCAAGACCACTTTTGGAGGGCCCCCCAACCACCCCCCTATTAACTTGATGGTGCTCAGCAGGGAATGAGACATGGAAATCCTATGGGTCCCTTTGAATTTGCGAATCCAAAAACAGCTCACTCCATTTCTCATTCCCTGCCTATCGCACCAGCAAGTTCATCACCCCCAAACTATCCTTCAATACTGGATTATGGCTGCCAGACAGGTTAATCAACTAATCCGGGAATGACCCCTATAAACCATCCCCTACAATCCGGTTTCCTTTACGGGAATCCCCAGGTTGATTCCAGGTCTCATTTGTTGCCTATCGCCCCAGCATTCAGAAAATTTGGGGTCAACTAATTGGGTTTCGGGGTTTCAGATTAAATGCCGACCAAGTTTTCAGGGTGCCCTTTGAGAAAACAAAGAAAACCAACCGAACTTTCCTAAAGCAAGGCACGCCAATATAGGGTGTTTTCCCACAGATTGTTTTTGTGGCTTTCCTTGCTCCCCTTCAAAGATACCATCAAAGATCCTTTAACGAAGCCAAATAAATCCAATATACCAGCAGAAACATGTTGACCTGTATGCCAAAGAATCCTATAGAAGCTGGAACGCATCCGTGCTTTTTTTTGATTCTCGGAAAATATTCTAGGAGCACCTTCCATTTCCATTCTTTCCAGGGATCCAAATCTTTTCAGGAAACCATCCAAAATCCCAGGTTGGAACCAGATCCGGTTTTTGAAAAGGACGATGGTTGAAAATAATGGAAGAGGAATCAGCCCCTAGAAGCATCCGTGTTTTTGGGTTGGTTTATGTCATATTTTTTTTCTCATCGTTTTTTGTTGTTGTGGCAACTCCTAGCTCAACATTTTGGAGTCCACAAAGCCTACTGTGGATGGTTGCGAAATCCAGAAATCGCACCACTTGGAAGCCATGCGAAACCATTCTGCCTTGGAATTTACGTCGGGGAATCGAAGCATTCCTAGGCTGGGGACCTAAAGTGGTGCGAGTTCCGAGTTTCACGAAACCGTCCACAGTATCTCACTTCCTGAGTTCATGAACTTTAAACTTTTTGGGTTTGGACCATTTTGGTGGTAATTATAAAGTTTGATTTTGTTTTTTTTTTGGGCCATCCACTCAGCCAGTGAGATACCTGCAGTCCATGGAAGCTGGAGCAGTCCATGGAAGCTGGAGCAGTCCATGGAAGCTGGAGCAGTCCATGGAAGCTGGAGCAGTCCATGGAAGCTGGAGCAGTCCATGGAAGCTGGAGCAGTCAATGGAAGCTGGAGCAGTCCATGGAAGCTGGAGCAGTCCATGGAAGCTGGAGCAGTCCATGGAAGCTGGAGCAGTCCATGGAAGCTGGAGCAGTCCATGGAAGCTGGAGCAGTCCATGGAAGCTGGAGCAGTCCATGGAAGCTGGAGCAGTCCATGGAAGCTGGAGCAGTCCATGGAAGCTGGAGCAGTCCATGGAAGCTGGAGCAGTCCATGGAAGCTGGAGCAGTCCATGGAAGCTGGAGCAGTCCATGGAAGCTGGAGCAGTCCATGGAAGCTGGAGCAGTCCATGGAAGCAGTCCATGGAAGCTGGAGCAGCTGGAGCCAGTCCATGGAAGCTGGAAGTCCATGGAAGCTGGGTCATCATGGATCCACTGGAGCAGTCCATGGAAGCTGGAGCAGTCCATGGAAGCTGGGCAATCCGTGGAAGCTGGAACGATCCATGGAAGCTGGAGCTTGATCCATGGAAGCTGGAGCAATCCATGGAAGCTGGAGCAGTCCATGGAAGCCATGGAGCAATCCATGGAAGCTGGAACGATCCATGGAAACAGACGTCCATGGAAGCTGGAACGATCCATCGAATGGAGACCAATCCATGGAATGGAGCAATCCATGGAAGTTCGGAACGATCATGGAAGCTGGAATGATCCATGGAAGCTCGAATGATCCATGGAAGCTGGAGCAGTCCATGGAAACTGGAGCAGTCCATGGGCTCGGGAATCCATGGAAACTCGGAGCAATCCATGGAAGCTGGAATGTCCATGGAAGCTGGAGCAGTCCATGGGCTGGAGCGATCCCATGGAGGCTGGAGCAGTCCATGGAAGCTGGAGCAATCCATGGAAGCTGGAGCAGTCCATGGAAGCTGGAGCAATCCATGGAAGCTGGAGCAGTCATGGAAGCTGGAGCGATCCATGGAAGCCTGGAGCAATCCATGGAAGCTGGAGCAGTCCATGGAAGCTGGAGCGATCCATGGAAGCTGGAGCAGTCCGCTGGAAACTGGAGCAGTCCATGGAAGCTGGAACGATCCATGGAAGCTGGAGCAGTCCATGGAAGCTGGAGCAGTCCATGGGCTGGACGATCCATGGAAGCTGGAGCAGTCCATGGAAGCTGGAGCAGTCATGGAAGCTGGAGCAATCCATGGAAGCTGGAGCAGTCCATGGAAGCTGGAGCAGTCCATGGAAACGGAGCAGCTGGGATGGGCAGATCCATGGAAGTCCATGGAGCAGATCCATGGAAGCTGGAGCAAAGCTGGGAGCAGTCCATCCGCTGGAGCAGTCCATGGAAGCTGGTCAGCAGTCCATGGAGCAGCTGGAGCAGTCCATGGAAGCCTGGAGCATGGAAGCTGGGCAGTCCATGGAGCAGCTGGAGCAGTCCATGGAAGCTGGAGCAGTCCATGGAAGCTGGAGCAGTCCATGGAAGCTGGAGCAGTCCATGGAAGCTGGAGCAGTCCATGGAAGCTGGAGCAGTCCATGGAAGCTGGAGCAGTCCATGTTGAGGTACCCAAAGGCTGCAATTCGATTAGGCCCCTTGAAGCCTGAGGAGACCCTTCAACCGGGTGTCCATTTAGCCGCAAGTCCGTCTATTGGACCGCAGGGGTGGTCTCATCGTTTTTTTTTTTTTTTTGTGGCAATCTTCATAGGTCTGGCATCTTGGTAGGTACCCTATATCCTATGACTCCTCGCAGCCGCTTACGTACTTTTTCCCAGATTCTCTGAAAACATTGTGTGTTTTCTACATGGTCTCGTCGGGTTTTTGTGGCTTTCTGCCATAGGCGGTGTTCTTCGCCGCAGGCGGTGGCGGTGGATCGGGACCGCAACTCCCCCAGCGCCGTGGCCTTGGCCGCGGGCTTCCGCGGCCTCGCCGCGCGGCTCCGCCACGAGGAGGCGGCGCAACCGACTCAACCCACGCGACGACACGTCCCCACGCCGGGTTCTTTTGCTGGAATGGACTACAGAACAAAAGTTGGTACCAGCTTATTCTAACCTCTCTACTGGAGGACCTGGAAGGGCTGGAAGGGCTTGCCACCCATCAAGGGCACCTGGGATCTGGGTTGGCTTGCTTTGCTGTTTTTTGAGCCAACCCACCGCTCCTTTTCCAAACGAATCTCCGTACCACCCGAAGAAACTACCCCTAGGTTGTGCAGTAGCCCTTTGACCGTTTCTTTTTGGGGGGAGATTCGGTTCACCCTTATTCTACCTATGTTCTCATTTTCTCCTTGGGACTTAAGCAAATGGAGGCAAGTTGATAATCGAGAACCATCATTAAGGGTTGCAGTAACCCATTTGTAAGGGTTGTTTGAGGTTGGTGAATTCCTGGGTCCAGTACCCGTTTTCTTGGGGACTCCCAGAAGTTTATACCCATTGCCCTGGTTTTGTGGGTTCACGGGGTTTGGGACCCCTTGGCTCGTTGGTGTCCTTGCAGTTTTGCCTCGCCAAAGCATAGGGGTTCCCTAAAACCAGGACACACCCGTTGTGCAGGCGTAACGAAAACGCCAGCTTCAAACGATTTGTTAGATGTCCAGTGTTTAGGACATGGATGAACAACCTGGCATTCCCGTGTTTTTTTCACGATTGAGTGAGAAATGGCACAACCCATTTGGGTCGCTCGTCATCCCTTTACCCAAGTGAAGAAGAACGTACCAATACTTTCATGTGGTGTACTGTTCAGTCACTTGTTGGGTTTGAGGGGCTTCCAACACTAAAGCAAAAGATCCCTTTGGTCAGGCGAACCCTTAAAAAATCACCGTCTTAAAACATCACCTATCGGGTTGCCCGTTTCCCTCAGCGAGTTTCCCTGTAAGGAAATATCGGAGGCCTGGACACTGTACGGACTCAACGCCATGTGGTGCGTGAATTTCCCGTTGGGCTTAGAGCACAGGGTTGCTGGGCTATGGACCCTGAACCTACCCGAACAAAAAGGGTTCACCAAGGGGGGTTCGGGGCAAAAGCCGATATTTTTGCCAGGCAGTTTGAGGGTGCAGGTACTTGAAATACCAAATTAAGCTGTGATACGTGTTCGCCCTGTATGTCATCCCAAAGTAGACTGAACGCACTTGCCTGTCTAGTTAGTTTTCTAGCTTTGCGGGTAGATGTGTTCATTCCGAGTTGTCAGGATGCGTTTAGTTTTGAGTTTCTGATGAGTGTTACTCGATTGACTTAAACCCAGCTGTTGGTTCCCCAAAAGAGGACATAAGAGGACCTGGACCCTCAAACTACTTATCAAATGGGTTATTGCCCCAGATTATGGTTCGTGGCTTCCTTTTTTTTAGTTTGAGGGTCCAGCCCTCTTGTTGTCCAGCGTTTGGGAAACTCGCATGTTTCAAGTCTACCTATGGGTTGTCTCCAAGGTGTTGGAGCCTGAACCCCACATTGGCGGTTTGGGACCACCCCCCAACAACTCACTCCCCGAGTCTCTAGAAAAGGTACCACCAGCTCCAGACGCCCAAATGTGGGCCCGTCTTCAAGTCTACCAATTCTACCAAGGGTTGTCCGACAACAAGTCCCTTCAATTCGAGCCCATTCGATTCGGCTCGCTTGGCTCATTGGTTGGATCAAAGCCAAGCCGAGTCCCGATATGGCTCCCCATTCCCATTTGGCTGAGTTTACACAGTAGAATTCGGGCTAAAATGGTAGCTCTTTTTGCTGGACCTGCCGAGGATTGGACAAAAAGGTCTGGGACTCTACTGAAACAGTTGTGATGAAATCAGGTGGCAACGGTGGAAACAGGACCCTGAGGCATCCTAGTTGTTTGTGTTGTGAGTTGCTGATGCCTATGCCAACGATTTGTTCGCAAAGCTTTCCTTTTCACGAAACAGGTGCGAAACAGGCGGTGAGTGCGTCTCGTCGTTTGGGGAGTCAGGAACCAAAGCCACACTTCAAGGGGCGATGGGGTACAAAGTAATTAGTAAGTTGACAATAACTAGGGGCAGGGTAGGGAGGTCAAAGGGCAGGATCGGTCAGGTAAGTGGTTGATTAGTATCCATGGTGAGATAACCCACAAAAGCCATGGTTATAAGTCTCCGTTCAGTGGGTTAAACTGACGTACCCGATCGCCCCTTTATGCACGCCCCTACAAGCGGAAAGTTTATCTTCCAGGTACCCTTCCGCATGTGCCTTCTGTTAGGGAGGCGGTGCAAGGATGTTTAACTCACTCCCTGAGTTCATGAACTTTAAACTTTTTGGGGTTGGACCATTTTAGTGGTAAATATAAAGTTTGGACTTTTTTTGGGCCATCCACTCAGCCAGTGAGTTAAACCATGTTTGAACTTGAGGCTGCCCTTCGTGTGGTGGCCGCGGTCATTTCAACTCGAGGACCTCCTGTGGCTTACCCCTGCCGTCTACTTTCCGGCGTCGACAGACGCTGGAGGCTTGGCAGGTATGGACTTGTCGCAGCCTAACCAAAACAAACGCTGAAATATTATCCCTCCATTTTGCTGAAAATTTTGCTGAAATGAGTAGTTTATGTTTGCGCTTGTTGGTTTAAGGGGAACAACATCTGCCTGGAGTCTCCTTCTGAGCCTTCAAAATTCGGTCAATGACCAACCATGATTTTGGGTAATGACCCCATGTTTTAAGGGTCATGAAGACTCCAGGTGAAGTCTTATCCTTCCATTTGCTGACATGAAGCGTTGACATTTTCCCTCGTTGGTTTAAAAGGGACTCGATTTCACTACTACTTTGTTTATTTTCCAGGGGGCAATTTCGGCAATTTCGGCAAATGGAGGTATTTTAGAACCTTGCGGAGCCTGACATGCAGGTGGCATGGTTTCAACGTTGACGTGGCTCGTGCGACATGTTTCTTGATTTAGCCCGCTCTGACAAACAGAACGCTGACGCACTTGGACTTGCTGGAGCACGCTGCAGGTGTCCGACAGCCATGCGTCAACAGGTGAGGTCCTTGTTATTTGTTTTCTTTTTTTTCTGGTATTGTTTTCTTTTTCCGGAGGGTCAAGTTGCCTCCAGGGTCGGCTTTTCAAAGAAGTACCTGGACCCTCAAATACATATCAGAATTCCCCCATATTTTTGGGGCCAACAATTCGCTAAGGGTAATTCTTTTGGGTCCAGGTACCCGTTTTTTCTCCAACAAAAGTCGACAACCAGGTTCACGACTACCATCCTCAGAGAGCCCGAGGTGAGCGCTTTTCACCTTTTGATTGGAGGTGGGCCCCTTTCACACCGACCAACAGAGGCTGAAGATGCGGAGTTTCTTTCCCATGGAAAGCCACTGTGTTGGATTGTCTGTTGCAAATGGACATTCGACAGAAAGGTAGCAGGGGTTTGATACGAAATCCAATTTCCTGTAGAAGTTCCTATCGATCTTAGTTCCCTGTCGACTTGCTTCTCTTGGAGCCAAAGCCCCTTCGACCCAGGACCCGTACCAGTAACTCTTCCCGAATCCGCACGTCTGGGTTGGGCAAAATTCCCTCGGATTTCCAAAGCATCCGCGCATCCTAACCGCCAAGCCACCAATCCAAGCTAGATGCCCTTATCTAACTCGGCCTGAAATAAATCCAAGACGATTAGCAGGAAGCGGATATTTTGAGGCCTAAGGCTTCCCCTGAGGCTCAGCTGTGTCCCGGTCATTTCTTTGACTCTTAGGACCTGAGCACCATCCTGGCTGATGTTAACAGACGCTTGGCAGGTTGGGACTGGGCATAGGAACCGCCATGAACCGCCATGAGCCGCCTGACCCATGAGGGGGTTTGCCGGATGAGGTTAGCCTTTACGTCAGTCCTTCTGAAGAATCTTTTCGGAAAGACCCACGGGAGTGGTAAACAGCAAGTTTGGACCAGTTTTTGCCGATCCACTCAGGAAGTGAGTTAAGTTCAGGTCCTTTGATTGCAAGTGAGTTTGAGGGATGTGCACATGGCTGCTTTTGCTTGGGCAACAAGGCTGCTTTGACAGGTCCCTGGACTGATCGTTTTCCGATGCCTTGTTGGCAGGAATTTATCCGGCCCTTTGCTTTGCCTGTCTTCCTCTTCCCTCCGGAGAAGGCCTTGCTTCTTGATTAAAGCCTTATGTTGAACCCATGTTTTACACACTTTGGGTTCATTGAATATTTTGCTACCTGGACCCTCAAACTACCCATAAAGAATTGGTTCTTGCCCCAGAGAAATGGGGTGAACTCCCTTTTTAATAGGCAGCTTGAGGGTTCAGGTACCTAAAAAGGATCAACCCAAAGGTGCCCCTTTTTTCCCGTAGAAACCCACTGGGCTGTGGCATCTTAGGTTGAGACATCTCCGCGAGGCATCACGAGCAGTACGTTTTGGGGAGCAGCCTTAGCGTGTTTTGCTCGAAACGCACGTCCTGGATCGAGCAGGTGTATGCAGTTATGTCGATATATGCACTAGGGGGACAATAAGAGACATGCAATTTGAGTGAGAAGTATCTATGTCTATAGATATACACTCATACCTAAATGGATTAACCATATCATTGTGTATTTATGTGTATGCAACAATTACGGTTTACAGGTGACCAGAGGCAAGTCAAACAAACTGAACATGCATCTCGCGACCGGCACTGACTTCAATCATGTTTCAACATTGGTAAACACAACGGATGCTTGCGGACGGGTAGTTTTCTTCTGGCTCTCGCACTTGGAGCTGTGTTGCATTTTGGGATGAGCAGACTTGGGTGCCTTGTATGGGTCCCTGAAGGTATTCCTAGGGGTTCCTCCCCCATTTTTTGTCCACACATGCACCTGGCATGACGCTTATCCTTGTTTAGTGGTTGAGGATGACTTGCGATATGGGTAATGGCATCGGGGCATCCACTTTCTACCCTTTTTGGGGCCCCCGATTCTCACGGCGCGTCCAGTTATCAGCAGGGCATCGGCACATAGAAACGGAATTCGGGGGGAGTGGGGTGATCCCTGGACTTCCATTTATGTTTCCATTTTCCAATTGTCCCTCTTATGGGAAAGGCTAGATAAACACACCCTGACCCCCAGAAGGCAGGGGGATCTTGTACATGCACCTATTTTCTTTCTCAGGTTTGGCAGGTCTCGCAAATTTGTTTGCAGGCCATGAACAACAGATCCAGCTGCGCTTGCGCGACACCTTGTGCTTCGGCTCCAGATCGCACACTCGCCATCGGCGCTTACGACGCGACGCGAGCGGAGATTGCCGACTTTCTCCGTAGCGATGGCCCCCGCGAGTCACGCAGCCCGATGGGACCATGCCAACTTCCGGGGCGGCTTGGCTTACGCGTACGCCCTGAAAGCTCCAAAGACCCCACCGTTTTGGCTGGGGTGTATTTGGAACTCCCGTCTTTATGGTTTGAATGTTAAATTTTGTCAGGTACCACAAAAATGGGAATGTGGCGAAGGGGGGTCTGTCAACTGTCAACCCCAAATCACAGTAATCCAGAGGCCATATACAGGGATGGTGTGAATAAAATTACGGATTTGTGTGGTTTCTCCGGATTTATCTAGTATTGGCTTCTGCTGTTTGGTTTCCACCAAACGTTTATGAACCAAGATCCACCTTCCGTTTATTGTTTTGGTTGGCTGGAACCTGGTTCAAAGGGAAGCGTCTAAACACTAAGCAAAACGACACTTGCCCCTTCACGGTTCTTGGCTGCTGCTGTTTTATTTACGTAGTTGATTTTGTTTTGGATTGTTTTGGTATGTGTGTGTCAATGGAAGACAAGAACTTCATCCAACTTCAGGGCAAATCCAGTGATCCGCGCGCTTGTCACGTTGGGTCTTCCTACCCCTCCAAATACTGTTTCTTCTTTTTATGATGTCAACCCTCTACTGAACAAGGGATTGGTAGTGACCATGGACAACCTATCAGCTTTCCAAAAATGGCCTGAAATCTGAAAATAAAGTTGGTGTTTGGAGTACGGGCTGGGTCTTTGATCGTGGCTTTGGTGTGACGGAATCGCCCCGGAGAGAAGTCCCGTCAACCAAACGAAGAAAAAGCACCGGCCCTAAAGCCACCAGTTGTCTCTGTTGCCCAGTGGCGCCCTTGGTCCTTTATTTGGGGGGGAAGGGTTTCCTTTTAAGCTCAACCAACGAGAAAAAAACGGATGAAGGGTTTCCTTTTAACCTCAACCAACAAAAAAAAACGGCTGCCCGTTGTTTTTCTCCCCATGGAACTCCACCGGGCATCTGAGTTATTCGACGGATTCGGATTCGTTGATGGTCTTGGCAGGTGCGGCGGTGCGCTGTATCTTCCGTTTGCTTAATATCACGGGGGTGACTTTGGTAAAATCATGAGGCCAGTCACTTGCCAAAGCGAATCAACCTTTTCACCTCACGTGGCCTTGACTTAGGGCGTGTGTGTTGTTTTGTTTTAAAGTCTCGCCGCAATGGCTTCGGTCCCCTTTTGATTTCCCTTTACATGGTTGTTGTTGGGCAACGGTTTGCATTTTTGCTTATTGTGGTTTGGTGGGAAATCGACACTTAGCTGCTAAAATTTCAATTGTTTGCTCCCCTTCCAACGTCAACCAAGATATGTTTTATTCCCCCCCCCCCCCTCCCAGTTGGTTTTACATGAAATATGTCACAACTGGAAACATGTTCAATCATGTTCATTTTGTTCATAAGCAAATGGAGGGTATCCTCATGGTTGTCGTTGGGAAACATTTTTTCATGTTTGCTTATTGTGGTTTGGTGAGAAATCGGCACTTAACTTGACTGCTAAAATTCAATTGTTTGCTCCCCTTCCAACGTCAACCAAGATATGTTTTATTCCCCCCCCCCTCCCAGTTGGTTTTACATGAAATATGTCACAACTGGAAAGATGTTCAATCATGTTCATTTTGTTCATAAGCAAATGGAGGGTATCCTTGACTGGGAAACAGGCGCATTGAGAGCTTGGGCTGAGCCATGCCTATTACTTGCCTTAGGAAACTTTGAGCTGAGCGATGGTTGGTTTCAGAGGAACGGCATCATACTTGAACCCGAAGAAACTACCATAAGAAGGAGAAACCACCCCATAAATTGCGGCAATCACATGTTTTTTATGGGTAGTTTCAGGGTTCAGGTACATGTTGTGCTCAAGCCCGTTTGTGGACAGTCCCAGAGAAACATTTGGAAATGGGAGAAAACATTTGTTGGGGGGGGGGCTGGTTCTGGTTGTTTCAGTGTAGCCATTGACCAAGTCCTCTCTGCCGGTAGAACGTCACCTCTAAATCAGATTTGGGCGATTGCGTTTTGTCCGAAGTGTCAGGAAAAAGGCCGTGGTGCGCCAATGGCTTAAAGCACCTGGCTTAAAGCACCTATCCCGTCGAGCGGATGGCATACCTCAAGACCCATCCTTGGGCACAAGGGACAAATGGAGGGTTCTTCCCAGATTCCCTTGCAATTCGCCCGCACTGGATTCTGGATTTGGAAATCCGAAAGCCCATGCCGTCAAACTACCCCTCGCAGTGTGGAAGTCCCACCACATGTTTTGCGAAACTCCAGTGCTTCCACAATTATGGATAAGGGGAATGATCTGAGAGCAAATGCTGAAGGGTTTCCTACTAAAGTCCCAGTTGCCCAGTCTCTTTTTGTTATTTTTGCAAAGGGCTCGCCTTTATACATAAACTCAACCCACCAAAGAAGGATGGCCTTTTCCCCCATGGACATCCTCCGGTCTGAGCTGGGAACCTCTTAGTCTTTGATTGACTCCTTGAGGGGCACATACTGTGGATGGACGAAATCCATTTCGCACCACCGTTCAGAAACCCGGGTTTCTGATTCGCTTCCCCTGTAAATGCCAACAAGCACTGGTTTCAACCATGGGTTCAATCTGGTGCGAAATGGATCCCGTCCGTCCACAGGCGTCGAATTGTTCAAAGCCACCGAGGCATCAGCGCGCAACAGGTCCGACTGGGCTTCATCCGGCCTCTCGGCGGCCGATTTTCGGGACACCGTGCCACTGGGAAATTTTATCGGCCGACATGCGTGATGAGTCATATGAACCCCCTACTCAAATACCTGCTTTTGTCAGGGTAGTTTTGGGACAACCTGTTTTTTTGAGAGCAGGTCGCTGTGAGCGTGCGCTTTTTTCACTTTTTTATTGAGCAGAACTGTCTTTGCATCTAGATCAAAACCGGATTGTGGATGAAGGCAATGCATACTCTTGATTGAAGCAAACAAGACCTGAACATAATCAATCACATCCAACAACACAGTGACCTTCTTACTTACATGCAAACAATATCAAGTCCTTCATCTCTCGCAAAAGAATGCGCTATGCATTTGCAACTACTCATTGCAGACTCACTTCATAGCAGGTGTCTTCTTGAGGCCCTTCGTCTTCTTGGAGCAATGATCTGGCTTCACAATCTTGGAGCTAGGCTTGCGGGTGGGGTGCAAGTAATCGGTCTTGTCTTGGTCGATGGCATTGTTGTGACTCTTGGCCATGGTCAAGAGAAAATACTTGTGACGATTGGGACGCATTTCGTTCAACAGGCCTGCGAAGTTCCGGAACCAGGAAAACACTTGATCACAAATGTTGGTATTCACCCTGTTGATGCGCGCTCCAAGCTTGCGGCGGCGACTTTAGATTGGAAGCGCATATCATAGTTTCACACACAACACAAAACATAACATATAAATACTGCGCATAAGTGTACGAGGGACTGGGGTTGCATGCATACCCCTTCGATAAGGGGTGGGGGGGTTTGTTGTTGGGGGGGGTTGTTGTTCCGCGGGGGGGGGGGGGTTGTTGTTCGGGGGGGGTGTGTTTGTTGTTCGGGGGGGGGGGGTTGTTGTTCGGGGTGTTCCTGGAAGGGGGGGGGGGGTTGTTGTTCGAGGGGGCGGGGGGGGGGGAGTGGTTCGGGCCGCGGAGATTCACGGGTGGCATTCTTGTGTGTTGGGGGGGGGTTTTGTTGTTTGGGGGGGGGGGTTGTTGTTTGGGGGGGGGGGTTGTTGTTCGGGGGTTGTTCGAAAGGGGAGGGGGTGGACTGCGGAGACTCACGTGTGGCATTCTTGTATGTTGGTTTCAGACGGTTGAGACTTTGTACTTTCGGGGAATTCAGGCTTCGTGTTTTGTACTTGCATAAGTGGCAGACCGCAAGTTTGGACCTTTTTTCGGCTACCCTTTATACTTTCGGGGAATTCTGGTTTCGTTTTTTGTCCGTGCAGAAGTGGCAGACCTCAAGTTTTTTGGATGTCTCAGCACTTGCAACACGTCGCTAACCGACCTGCCCTTCGTGCTGCCGCCATGTCGACTTTGAACAAGAAGGTCGTGCACACCACGGTGGAGGGCGTGCGCGTCATGATCGTGCACGCCCAGCGCCGGGATGGCTGGCTGCAGCTCGTGCCCAGCGGCTTGGTTCTGCAGCCCGCCCCCCACGAAAAAAAATGCGCCATTCTTCTTCGGGCCCTGCCCCCCCCGCCCCCCACCAAACACGATCGTTGTAGCCCCCCCCCCCCGGGAAAAAGAAACACAAAAACAGAGCAATCGTTCGAAGGCGACCCAGTCAGACGCCGTCGCCCTGTCCTCAGAACGAGCCAATTTTCCTGTGGCATTGTTGTTGACGCACGCCCCGCCTGACACCCCTTCTTCGAGCTCTGTCTCTTACATGTTGTTTTCCGTTAGGCGAGCTCAGCACGATGGCGACTGACTGGGTTCCTCCTTCTCATGTGCAGGTGGTGTCTGAGGCCCGGGCCTGGGCGCTCGCTTCGGCGCCTCGATTTTGTTCGTTCGGCAGGCGTCTCCAGTGCCTGGCTCCGCTCGCCCCGCCTCGCCGGTCCGTTCTGTGCAGGACGACGGTTTGCTTTTCGCCGCTCCCACGCTCCGGCCGTCGAGCGGTCCCGGCAGGACAGTTGCTCTGCGCGGCCCCGCTCAGCCCGGGTGTCCGCTGGGGAGGCGACAGGCCTCGCGAAGGCTCACGGGACGCTCATCGCAAGGTCGTGGTGGAGAACGTGCGAGACACCCCCTCCGTTCTGTGTGTTCTGTGCGCACATTTGCAAACATGTTAGCCAGCTCGCGGACGCGCGCACTCAGAAGGAGCTGCGCGAACATCGCGGCGACTTTAGCGTGTCACTCACGTCGCAGAGACAACCGTGATTCATTGCACAGCATTTGTCAACGCATGTCGGGAAGCAATGAGCGGGGAAAACCAAACATTGCCTTTGCCATGAAGCAGGCTTCGTGTCCTTGCATTTTTGCCGGGTACCCGTTTTGGGAACTAGGTTGGTTTCGGGTGACTCGGGGCCCTTTCAGCTGCGCTGCTTTGACACTTTGTCTTCCAATGGCCCCCGCCTTTCTTGTAATTTTTCTGGTACACGTTTTGGGGAGGGCTGCTTTCGGGGAAAACAAAGGATGTGTTTTAGCCTCGCAGTTTGAAACTGCCCAGCAACTTGCCGAGCCTGAACTGGTCGTGACCTGTGGAGCTTCACTTTCTTGTCCAATGGCCCCCACCTTCCTTCATTGTTTTTTTTTGGCACCCGTTTTGAGGAGGAGCTGCGTTCGGGGAAAACAAAGGGGAACCGTCTGAGCTTCAGAGTGGAGACTGCGCGGCTCGTACTGTTTTAGATCAAGACATAAAGGTTTCGAAGGCTGTTGCTCATGAGGTTTTGTAACTTTGTTCTCGGAGTTTTAAAACAATAAGCTTGGCGTCTAGGCGAAACACTCGTTTTGGAATTTTGTGTTGGCCCACGCAGTCGATCGTGAGGTTCCCTTTTCATGGTTCGGGAAAAAAAGGGGCCAAGAACGCAGGGTTGCGGCGCCAGGTCCCTTGTTTTTGGTCGTCTGGCTGGCCCTCTCTGAGGCTCAAATATTGCTTGCCTTCTGATTCTAAGGACCCCATGACCACTACTTCGACACAACCGCTCGCCTGCTCCGCATCCGCTTGCTTTCGGCCAGAAAATGGCACGAGAATTCGATGGGCGTAGCCGCGGGCAGACTCAGGGTTCTGCGTGCAGATGAGATTTACAGGACACACACGGGCTGTCGGGGGTTCTGCATTACTTTTCGTTGGGTGCCGTTCTTTTCCTTGAAGCCGCGACTTACCGGTGATACCCTTGACGCCACGCCTTACCGGGTGGGGGCGGGTCTTCCAAGAGACGAAGTGGATGTTTTTCCGCCTAGCATGGAACCACCTCAGTTGTCTCAGCACGAAAGGAAAATCCTGTGACTGCCTTGGTTGCGTCCCCGTTGGGTCCTAGGTTGTCCTTCCAAAGGAAGGCAGCAAGGATTCTGTGTGGGCCCCCGTCGCTCGCTGGCTGCCAGGCTTCTATGGCCGCGTTTGACCACGAACCTTTTGGTGTGTCCTCACTAGAAAGCCTTGGTCGGATGTTTCGGGGTACTTCCCTCCTTCTATGCCCCTTTTTGTGCGGGCGTTTCCACGGATTCACGCGGGGGGGGGTCAGCCGGGCGAAAGCCGTGTGGGTCCTTTACATGCGGGTTCTTTTCTTTCCTTGTCTACACTTTTAGTTTGAACGGACAGCCAGACGCTCCAGCTGTGGAGACATGCCTGGCCTGCCTGTGACCGGGGCCGCACCGCACTTGCCAGCGGCATGTGACCCTCGATGGGGAGTCTCAGACATGTTAAAATGAGACAAGATTCTCTTTCAGTGGCAAAGTCAATGGCGTGACAGAGCCAACCGGAAGAGGGCCAACGTGTACATGTGCGGGTAGTTCCCGCAGAGTGAGATGCTCTGTAGCATCTATGGCGTTGGGCAACGACATATTATCCCCCTCCACTGCCATCAGATGCAATGAGAGTCAAGACAGAGTATCTATCACACAGGCTTGATGTCAGATACTGTGGCAGACGGCTCAATGATGTTTACAGCAGATGTTTTGGAATATTTATCAAAACCATCGAGAAAACCCCCCAAAAAAAACAACAAGACTATGCCTCCCCTCCCCAAGCTAGGACATGTGACATAGTCTTGTCTTTTTGGTTTTCTCGAGGTTTTTGATGTTTCTGGGAAAAGTGTGAAAAACCTCGAGAAAACCAAAAACACAAACACAAAACAAGACCATGCTCCCCCTCCCCAGGCTAGGACATGTGACATAGTCTTGTTTTTTTTTTGTTGTTTTTGTTTTTTTGGTTTTGTTTTTGTTTTTTGGTTTTCTCGAGTTTTTTTTAATGATTTTGGGAACAGTATGAAAACATGGTTTTTTAACAAAAAACATGGAAAAGCGCACGCTCAGGGCGTCCTGTTCTGTTTTTTTCTCCAAAGATTGTAATTCTAGGGGTTGGCTCCGAATTCCCCATTCTTTTCCACCATCGTTCTTGTCAACAACCAGCTGTTTCCCCAGTGTTTTGTGGTTTCTTGGAAAGAAGGATGCCAGAAACGAATGGGGGAAGGTACCCCTAGAGTGATGAGTCATTGCGACACGCAGAAATCCACTTCCCCCCCCCCCCCCCCCAAGACCAAACCCCTGTTTGGAGGGGGGCTTTTGTAACTGAAGGTGCAATCTCCTGCCAAGTCAGCATAAACCTCTGGTCTTTGTGAGTGTTTGGCGAATCTCCTTGGATTGGTGGATTGTAGTGGGTTCTTGGTGTCCTTGGTACCCTTTCCTGAAAAGGTTGGGGATTTTCAAGGGGAACCCAATGCACAACTGAAAAGAGGCGTTTCCAGAAAAACTAGGGTTTTGAAGGGAATGGTTATTCCAAGTGGATGTTCATGTGGAAATAAGTTGTCAAAAAAAACTGTTTGGTTGAATGTCAAGGGGTCCCCCCCTCCAAAACACGAGTTGGATAACACAGGGCCGCCACTAGGTGTCCAGGGAACCACGCTGGGTCCCAGTTCCAACGTCTATACTGGGAATTCACCTCATATGTTTGGGGCAATATAACTCATGTTTGGGGTATTTTCTTTGGGTCCAGGTGTTTGTGTTGGTTTACAAAGTTTGGGGCTCCTCCGACTTTTGGTTCTCCGCTTTTCCGTCCCGTGACGCCCGTGCTGACCTTCCTACGCCGGACGCCGACGCAGCTCAGGAAGGTCTATGGCATCGTGTGCACGCAGGTGCTGACCACCGCCCTCTTCGCGGGTCTCTGCTGCGGACCCTTGCAACGCCCCGCGCCTCGGAGTGGCGCGGGCTGAATTTCTTGACTGTTATTGGGTTGGATCTTTTGACTTTGTAACTTGTTGGTTGAATCAAGTTGGGTTTTCCGTACTAAACCCCACAAAAAGTTAAGATCTTGAATAGGCTTTTTAACTTGATTGAAATCAAATCGAGTGGGTTGTTCTTGGTATTTTTCTTGACGGTTATTGGGTTGGATCTTTAGACTTTTTAACTTGTTGGTCGAAATCAAGTTGGGCTTTCCGTACCAAACCCCAGAAAAAGTTAAGATCTTTAATTAATAGACTTTTTAACTTGTTGGTTGTCATCAAGTTGGGCTTTCTGTACTAAACCCCCAAAAGTGATGCACTTTTTGCAGGGGGGTCGTTACAGCAACCAAGGTTCATGAAGTTGTGGTCGCAATGTCAAGGGGGGGTAGAAAAACGGCTTGCCGCGGTTTTTTCTCCAGGAACGGCTCCCCAAAAGGTCCAAGAGCTTAGACCACTTTAGGGACCCACCCTTTGGGTCTGGGTTTCCTAGGTCTTCACAACTTCTTCCCAGTTCCGCACCAGCCCAAGACCCTAAACATGAAGATCTTTGACCCCTAAAGCCCTCAAATAGTAAAGCCTTGGAGATCTAGGCTTCTTCCTGTTTCTTTAGAGGGCTTCCCTCTACGCGCCGCGTATGCCAAATACTGCCCCATTTTTCTTGGTTTCATGTTTGTTTTTTGACCGAACAAGGGTATTTACCACGCAAAGCCAGTTTGTTCAAAACATACCAACCCACATGCTGCCGGGGCTTCCAACAAAAGACCCAGACCCCTTCGTTAGACACCCCGTAAAGTTTGAGGGAGCTTTGACAACTAATCAACCCTGCTGTATAGAGGCTTAAGCATCGATACTTCCAACCCACCCAAGGGTTCCTTGAGGAAAAATGTTTTTCAGGACCCCCCCCCGGCCCAGTCTGCCAAGGTGGCTGGGAGGATAGCAGACTTTCCCTTCAAAATGATATCGGGCAAATCCTTTCGAGTTTGGATGGCAGCCGTCAACCGCAGAATTCGAGCTCCACGCGTTTGCTGAGAAACATGGGTTTGCCGGATTTGGGCTCCCCTAAATGGCTTTAGTTTCCTTTTTGGTTTCCCTTTGACACCCCAAAAAGGGGTACCAACTCCAAAAAAGACGAGCCACCCAAACGGGATCGGGTTGCATTCGAACTTCAACTTCCCGTCTCGCTCCCTCGGCCAATTTCCGTTTTTCAGAAATTAACATATATGGTTGCCTATAGGGCTCCAAAAGAGGGGAGCTCCTTTCGCGGACCTGGACTCTCAAAACAAAAAGCGGGCTCTTGCCGCAAAAGTCGCGGAACCGTATGGTGAAGTTTCAAAGTAGGGAAGTTTTTTCGGGTCCACCTGGATCGCCAGTTGCGATCGCTTTTTTCCATGAACTTTACCCCAAAACGGCAACAGTGACTGAAAAAAAGCGAAAAAAACAATTTGGCTATCTAGGATGCCGGTTTCTCAAAATGGAGTTCTGTAACTTTTTTGGATTCCCCTTATATCTCCTTTCTCCCGGTCCAATTCCTCTTGCCGCTGCTTTCAGATGCTGGCCTTCGTGACGACTTCGCCGAGCGCTTTTCGCTGGGGCTCCGTGATTGCGACGGGCCTCGCGCTGCTCCTCTGCCACGCAGGCGGCGGACTGGTGGAAGACCGGAGCAGTTTGTAGACCCCGGAATTCAGTTGCCACCATAAAAAAGCATGGCCGGGTTCATGGAACCACCGTTGTTTAAGGATTGTCATCATCCAAATTGGGTCAACCATTCTTTGAATCGGGGCTGAACCCTAGGATAGACTTTTACAAAAAGCAATCCGCCCCCCAGATCCACTTGGGGATTGTTAAGCGATGTATAGAGGGTGGGGCCTACCCCATCAAAGAGTTGTTTGCTGTAATCTCTTCCCCCTATTAACAAATACGCCCCCTCCCCCCCTATTATAAATAAATCCACACAAAAATATATTTTCTATTCGGGTTGTTGGGGTTGGGTTTTTTTGCTTTTCCAACAATGTGAGGGTTCTCATAGGATTTGGAGGAAATGGATTGAATTGTAAGGTCCGCGAGTAAGCAGTCTAATAAGAAATTTGATGTATCATTCTTTTTGTTTACCAGTTTACTGGTTGTTTGTTTGCAGCCAGGCAGGTTAATTAGCCAGCATGCACGGGAGAGAGACTAGACAGCTTTTGGGGACATGTTTTCTTTTGAGGGACACCCCAATAGTTAAAGGGCCCAATTTAAAAAAAAACACATTTTGGGGCGCAGCCAGGCAGGTCAGGTAATTAGTTAGCCAGGCAGGCAGCTACGCAGGTCAGGTAGCCAGCTTGTGATTGACTGCTAGACAGTCCAGTGCTCGAGAAGGCAGGGCTTTTTGGGGAAGCAACCTTTTGGGGAATTGAGGAACCCGTGGAAGCTTGCTAAAAGTGCCCCCTAATTAGGATTCCAAGACTTTAGTATTGGTTTAGCATTGGCGCAATGGAAAATCAATTGTGCGGAGTGGAAATCTGGTCTCGGGCCCCGGATTGGCATTTATTATTAATGGGGGTCATTCATTAATAGGGGGACCGGATTATTTATGTTGCCTTTCATGGATGGGCGGGCCTATGTGTTTTTTTCCAGTTGGTGGTGGGGATCCGGTTGGCTCTGCGGCGATTCCATAGCACATAGATTTTGCGGATCCCTAAAGCGGCAACTGAGGAAACCCGCTGAGGGCGAGAACCAAATGCGTAAGGTTGAGGCCAGTTGCTCAGTGGCACCCCATTTTCCCCTTTCGTTCGGGTTCCATATGGGCATACCCCAAGAAAGGGTTCCTGAGTCATCAATAGCTGTTGCGGGCAAGGACAGCTGTATGTTGTGACGGCTCGCATTGTCCAACCACTTACTCAGCTAGCGGGTCTTTCTGGTTGGGGGAAGATTGTAGAAAACTGTTTGGATTCGCTTTTTGTGGATTTTACATGTGCTTCCCCCTGTTGGTCCTGTTTTGATACTCTTTTAATACTCTTTTAATACTCTTTCAATATCCAGGGGTGGATCCACAGAAGCTGCCACATCCAAACCATGTTTGGTAGCAAGATGTCGTAGGCAAGGATATTTTCTCATGTTCCTAGCCAATCACTAACCACTTGCTACCATCAAACTGGACTCTTGATTGGCTGGTTGGTTCGTTGTTTGGTTGGTGAATTGGTTGGTTGGTTGGTTGGTTGGTTGGTTGGTTGGTTGGTTGGTTGGTTGGTTGGTTGGTTGGTTGGTTGGTTGGTTGGTTGGTTGGTTTCCTTTCAGTGGATCCCCAGGTTCATTCCCTTATTCCCTGCCTATCGCACCACCTGGATCCTTTTAAGCCATGAACTTTACCCCAAAAACCAGCAACAGTGACTGAAAAGAGCGATCGCAACTTGGCTATCTAGGATGGCAGCTTCTCAAAATGGAGTTCTGTACTGCTTTTGGGTTGGATCCTTTGGATTCCCCTTATATTTCCTTTGAACCAGCAAACAGTTAAACACTTTTTGCTGGGGGATCTACAGCACCCAAGGGTTGGTGCAGGCAAGGACAGCTACCCCGTGAACTTCTTGGGCCTTTGCCTCCTCACCGCCGTCATGGCCCTCGACTTGGGCGTGATCTCCGCACTCTGCGCCGCCAGCGGCCTGGGGGCACTCGTGGCGCAGGCGATCCATTCTTTGCCTGCACCCAAGGTCTCCTCCGTTTTGTTTGTTTGTATATGCATACCCACACCACCCACATATATATTTATATATATGTATATATTTCTATGTGGTGTGCTTCGTGTTACTTGTTTGCTTTGGATGGATGTGTTTTTAATGGATAGCTCTCTGAAAGAAGATCGGGTACCTGGCGTCTCCAAGTTGTTGCTTGTTTAATATATTTATTATGTTGGGGCATTCCAGATATGGAACAGGGTCAGAACACGTGTTTTCCTGTGAGCGCCAGGTGTGGGCCGAGAAGTAGGTATCCTGAAGCTATGTCACCTTATGGGGTGGCTTTCATTTGCCTCCCTTCAACTCCAAAAAGGCAACCCTCAAAGATGGCAGCCAATTCCTTGTGAGGCAGGTTGACTTTTTGCAGCCCCATCGTGGTTTAAGACAAATTGGTGAAGAAACAAATGCGAATAGTACGCCCTTGTACTCATGACTTTAAATGTTACTTCCCACAGGCTCCCAATTTATTTGGGCCCTCAAACAGCCAGGTTTTGAGACCCCAAAAATTCTGGGGTGTCTGGAGGGTCTGGGTCTGTCTATTGGAAGCCGAAGCCGATCGGAGCGTCTGGGTCAAAGTACCCCTTTCCAATAATTTAGGCCCTTTTACCTGATTGGGTGGTGCCCTTGCCAGGCTGCCGTGATCACAGCACTCATCACGCTTGGGCTCACGATGTACACCTTCAGCTTTTTGGCTTGGATCCGTTGCGGGGTTGCGCTTTCTTTGTTGTTTTTGTTTCGCCAAGTAACCCGTAGTTGGTTTGGATTTTGGACCCCTGGATCTGTGGGTTATTACCCCCGGAAGACCACCAAACCACCAATTGGAGGAAAGCCGATTTGGGTGCTATGTCAGGCTGGACTTGACTATTTCAGTGGTAAACAGAAGGTGATTGTTTTTGGCCAACCGACGGAAGTGATTTGGTGTTTGGATTTAGATTTGAACACCCCCCCCCTTTTTTGTAGAATGCGACAACAACCCCCCAACCCTCTACACATTGCGCATGCGAGAGTGCAGTTGGTTGTTTTTGGGGGAACCACGCAGCTTGTTTGAGGATGCCCATTGTTTGGGGCAACATACCGGACACAACCTATTGTACAGTATCAACACATGCGGTATACACAAATGAAGCTTTCGTGAATGTGGGATTAACCCTAGAAAGGCTATAACCCAAGTGGTTTTATTACCCACTTATCGTTGGTGCATTTTGCTTGGAAGTTAGGAATGGGTTTTCCATCAAACCACTAAAGTTAAACTTTTAGCAAGGGAGCAGAAAGCAACCGAGTTACCTGAAGTACCCTGCCCCTTTAAGAACACGAGCTTGGCGACAAGGCTCCAAGCGGGATTTCTCCTTCCTGGGGGCGGCTTTGTGGCCCTTGGCCTTCGGCCTCTTGGGCTTTGGGCTGCTGAGCCTCATCTTCCCCTCGCTGCACATGGGACTCTTGGGCTTGCTGGCGCCTTGCTTGAAACGCGAAACGGGCCAAGAGGTTTGGCCCAAACAAAAGCCCAGCTGAAGGTAAGCTCTAGACAACAGAGGGTGTCCTTCATTTCCCTTTTCTTTTGCGAACCTGCAAAAGGTGGCGGTTTCAGTGAACGCCACATGTAAACTGGCAACTTGGGAAGGGGGAATGGGAGGTTGTGATCATGGTTGCAACTCAATGTCTCTTCATATGATTTCCCTATGGCTATGACTTAATTTCGTTTCATGGCACCACCTTGCAGGACCCGTCTCACAGGTGGAACCCTCGTAAGGGTACCCCGGGCTTACTTGTCGTGAGCTTGGCTTGGCTTAATTGCTTATTTTTTCTAGAGCCCCTGAAGGCTTCCAGTTTAAAGCTGGCCCCCCATAAGGTTGGGGCAACTCCAACCTCGTACCCCCTACTCCAAATACCCGTTTGTTTCAGTGTATTTTGGGAAACCCTGAGTAGAGGGTCAACATGATACCCTGAAAAAAAGCCGCTTTTGTTTGAGGTTACGGGGGTAGGGTCTCACATCCAAACTTGATGGTCTTGCCAAGTGTCCATGCCCCATGCTTTTTTGGTAGGGGCTTGACACTAGGTTACGGAAATTGGTCGCTTCGGGTCGCTTCGGGGCACGCTGCAGCTCTCAGGTCTCCTTCGCTGGTGCGGGGATCTTCTGCGGCTACCTGGTCTTCGACACCTGGCGCATCGCCAATGAGCGCCTCGGAATTCCCTCTGTGAGGGGCCCAGGGCGTTCCCAATCCCAATGCATGGTTGTTGTTGGGAATACAGGGATTGGAGCTCATATTTGCTTAGTGTGGTTTATTGCTTAAGAATCGGCCCTCCAATCCCATTGCTTGTTTATTGTGGTTTTGTGGTTTAGTGGGAAACATTGTACGTGTTTGCTTGTTGTGGTTTGGTTGAAATCCAACCGCAGAACTGCTGTGTGAATGTTTGCTCCCCGAACCCAACGTCAAGGGGGTCCGCTTGAGGGGTCCCTTTCTTCAACCAGAGGGGCGCCAGGAAGGCTTCTTGGGGCGCGGGGGTTGAAATGTTGGGCATGTCCCGGAACCCAGTTACGCATTCCTAGAGCTACCATGGAACCCTGGCCAGAATTTCAGTTCGGTAGCTCCTGAACCGCTCAGGGGTCAAATAGGTGTGGCAGAATCAGAAACCCCACGCCACCAAGTACCCTGGCCCCCCCCCCTTTCCCCAAATGCCTGCACCCCCAAAGGACCGATTCCTTTTTTCTGCCTTTGACCCCCTAAAAATTAGGGGTACAAAGTCAAAAGAAAAGGAATCGGGGTCCTTTGGTCCAGGTTCCGCAACAGGTGGCATCTCCGGCCTATCTTAAGATCCTAGGCTGGGGGTGGACGACTATATCCAGGGCGCCATCCAGCTCTACATGGACATCGCGCCTTGGCGCGGGAGAACATTTGGCTGTGGCTCAAAAAACCGGTACCAAAATGGCTTGCCCTGGTAAGTGAAAACATGGACCAAGACCTGCGTAACCCCCCTGTTTAATTTTGAGCCACACCCATTTTCCGCGTCTCCGCGCCGTCTGCGCAAAGGGGCGATGGATGCGATCGATTCGGTACCTCTGGCATGAGAGATTTCGCCTGGTGAAAGAACCGGCTGAACGTACACTCTCAACCATGAGGCTTACTTTTGTGGGTTAGAGTTACCCGCTTACTCAGTACCGCCATTTAAGGGGAACTCAGTGGAGAGTTACGCGAAGGTGGAGCAAATTTAAAGCATTGGAAAGCATGTGGGTGTTTGGTGTAATCACCTCCCTTGGTGCTTCCCAGCCATCCGGTTCAGGGCTTTTGGTTGGCTTTAGCTGGATTTAGTTGGTTGATCGGTATATGCCCTATGTAACCCACGAAAAGTGTTTGGCTTTCAGCAGATCTGAGGACAGCGCAGCTTCCTAGGAACTCAGAAAATAATTCTATACAATTCTAGGGTCGAGTAAATATGAAACAGCATCGAACAACATGTTTGGTGTAGCCCAGATTTGGTCCAAGTTTGGAAGGGGCCCTCAATCCAGACACAGAGACATTCATAGAGTACTTGATTGCGATGTGTAAAATGCGATCTGCAAATCTACTGTTTGCACTCTCCGTTTTTACCGCTGGTTTAAACGACCAGCTTTCCGCGCGAGTTGAGGCAGGTGAATGATTGAGTGTTGTGCGCATTAGCGCATGGACCCCTACGGGGGCGAACTGGGGCTCACTTATTCCGTCCTTAAAACCGCTTTTTTAAGGGCTTAGTGTTGGCTTGTCTTGGGCATATCCACAAGCCACCATCCATTTGTGTGACCAGCGTGAGTCCACCTGGACCCTCAAACGACCCTTAACAGTTGGTTATTGCAACCTATTTTGGGGTGAACTATGCCAAACATTTGGGGCAATATTTTTTTTGAAAATGGGTAGTTTGATGTAGTTTGCAAAGTTCATGTTGTTTTTTTGACTGCCAAGTTTTATGCGCTCGCACGTCGCAACGTGCGCCCCAAACCCATAAAACAAACCCCTCCGACCGCAGGTTCTACTCCTTTCCGGGGCTTTCTAGAAAGCTGGTGCTTCAAAAGACCAAACTCGGAGCGGGTGATGATCTAAAAACAGCAACTTGAAAGAGGGAGCCTTTCGGAGCTACCGGAATTGAGTTCTGGTTAGGGACATGCTAGTTCTATAGAAAGGGGCTACCTGGATCGCCAGTTGCGATCGCTTTTTTCCATGAACTTTACCTCAAAAACCAGCAAAACTGACTGGAAAAAGAAGCATCTTGGCGATCCAGGTATAGCCTTTATCACCATATGGAACCAAAGGTCGGGTGAAACGAGCGGAACGCTCTAGTGAGTTCACCATGCCGAATCGATCCGTCTCGATTCGGAGCCGGATCCATTTGTCTGTTTCTTCACTATACACCAGACCCTTTTTGCTTTCTTTAAATGTCTTTTTTCGTACTTGGACACCCAAAATGATGGTGTTCCCTCCGATTTTCCTTTGAAACAACCCAAAAAGATTTCCCCCCCCCCCGAACAAAAGACACACCCATTCAGACAGGGTGTCTATTGAACATCAAGTGCCGAAAACCGGTGCCATCCACAGCCAACCTGGGAAGCATGCGACGTAGACTCATAGACGTAATCCGCTGGACAGGACGAGCCAATCGAAAACAAGCCGAAAAATTGGCCCCGGAAGCTCAGGTGAATATCTTCCTGTACATTTTGGAGATCTTGATGCAGATGAACAAGAAGCAGGACCGCGACCGCAGGTAAAAGGTGGCAGTGAGTTTGCGAATGTCGACCCCAAATTGAACACATCACAGTTGCCCACTGGCATCCTTTTCTCCTTCTGTGGGTTGAAAAGTTTCCCTTCAACCAGCAACCAAGTCATAAGAACTCAACCTGATCCCTTTTTGCTCTGTGTTCCCACCCCCCTCGCCAGACAAAACATCAGGTGATGGATCTCCGCAAGTCTCCGACATTGTTTTGTAATGCAGGAGTTCAACCTCTGATTTGGTGCCGTGCGCTTGGCCCAATCACTGTCTTAAATGGAACCCCCGGTGAATCGTCGAGGGGGCTATGCGGAGGGGTCATGATTTTTTGGACGGTTTCCAGGGCCCAGTGGATCCATTTTCCTGGTAAAGGTAGGATACCAAGGGCTTGCCACCGTTGCCACACTTTCAAGAAAACAAGGGAAAATAGCTGGCTACCTTTTTTCTTGGGCTTGCCTGAGATTCATTTGGGGGGTTTGTCAAAGCCAGAAATTGATTGGGGTTTCCCTTTATCCTACCACTTAGAGGGTGACTTCGATCATATTGTGGATGCACAAAATCCTGCACCACTTGGAAATCATGGGAAACCAGGGCTGGTTGGTATAGCATCATTCCAGGTCTTCTTAGGTGGTGCAGGATTTCGTCCATCCACAGTATTGTGATATACTGGGACCAGAGGAATCCGGGGTTGACATTCAGAGCTCCGCGGCGAGTCGCTTCGGCTCGCCAAGTCTCGGCGTGCGAAGTCCAGCGCAGCCGTGCGGTTTCCGCCATTTTTGGCCGGGCGCTGAAGCACACGAGCGACTGCCTCTCTACTTAGGCCAGTAAATGCCAGGCCGAAATATTTCAATCTGAATGCAAAACGAGGTAGGAACACCCCGCGAAAAACAAGGTCCCATGAGAAATACAAATATGAATATATATATATATACATACAACATATATATATATATATATATATTACATTCATGTGTACCTAGATGACAGCCACATGCGTGGGAAAACGAGTGCTCTCCCGACTTGCCATAAGCCAGTCCAGTTCATGTTCTAGTCCAGACCAGTACTGGGGGGCATCATAATCCTAAACCCAAATCCTAAACCAAAATCCGAACAAAACCATTGGATTCCCAACTGGCCATACGAAACTCATCCGCTCCAACAAAACCAACTGGCGGGGTGAGCGGCGGCGGCTACTTGCTACATGTTTGAATGGTCAGGTGGAGAACACCTAGGTCTCCAACCCTCCCCTCTGAACTCAGCCCAGGGCACTGTTCAATCGGAGAAGTCAGCCGTCCCAAAATAGCAGTAGAAAGTATACCCCCTACTCCAAATACCCTCTTTTTCAGGGTATCATGTCGACCCTCTACTGAAAAAGGATGTATTTACGTGGAAAACCAAGTTTTCCCAACAATACCCTGAAAAAAACGGGTATCTTGAGTAGCGGGATGGGTTGTGGTGTTCCTTGACTAGCCTGGGTAAAACGTGACTCCATACGCACTCGACACTGAGAGTTGTCCAGTTGCAAGTGTCTGGGGATGTATGTCCCTTGATTTTCAACCTTTGGTCTAAACACTTGCAATTTTCATGGTTTTTGTTGCATTCTTGGCCAAGAAAGAACGATCTCAACTGTAGTTGCCGAAAGTTGCCTCAGCATCACCGGGTCCTTAGCTAGCTGCGCATGCGATACAGCTGTACAGAAGCATGCCGCAAAGCTGAAAGCTGGGCGGGTGGTGAGATCACCTGCCTGCTCCAGTCTACCGATTGTCCAAGGGGCAAAAGTGAGATACGCTCGGGGTTGCTCCAGCTGTTTCCCTTTGGTTTTTGTTTTTTGGTGGATTTCTGGAAAATCCAACTTCTTGCAACAAGTGTCTTTTCGACTTCCCCAGCGTTGCCCCGGTTTTGGGCGTCTAGGGCAGAAAAAAGGGGTCCTTTGGGGGTCTATAGGTATCATGTCGGCCCTCTACTAAAAAAGCAGGAAACCGATCGGTGTTCCCAAAGATACCTTGAAAACAGCGGGTATTTTGAGTAGGGGGCATGTCAAGGGCAAACACTTGTTTTGGCCTATCGCATGTTGCCATGGACGACCTCCAAAGTTGGACACACAGGCTTGTGAGCTCAGCCAAGGATACCCAGGGTGTCCGAATCATCAGGGTGAACTGATTCCCAAGAGGATCTCTTTTGGCATGGTGGCACAGATGATGCATTTGAGCCAGTTGGAATTTCACCCCAAGACCCGCTGACTTCAGGATTCCAGGATTCCCGCGTAAAGTAATTAGGTGGTTGTCGAATCTATCCTAGGGCTTAATCAAACGTCATCATGGATGCTCCACATTTTTCCCTCGCGCACGCATCCCACTCGGCTCGTGGAATCTCCGAAATCAGATACCCGAGGGTGCCTGCCCCGGCCCTGTTAGACTTGAATCCAGCCCCTTATCTGGGTTGCAAAAAGCACGCCTTGCTACGTACAACACCTGAGGCTGGAAAGCAAAGAGCTTGAACCCGAAGAACTGCCCATAAAAATTGCTCATTGCAAACATGTAGGGGGCGATTTCCCATTTTTCATGGGTAGTTTGAGGGTAGCTGAACAGCATGTTGCTTTCGAGGGAAGGTGATGCGGCAATGCGCCACATTTTCTCATGAGCTTTACCGAGGGAAACAAAAACCACACATGGATCTAGAAACCAGTTTGGACGTGGCATTTGTGGATCCAACCCCGTAGGCTATTAAAGAGAACTAAAACGGATTACAACATAAGAACCAACAATGGCAAGAACAGGTAATCCAGAACAAGCGCATCCAAACCATTTTTCTACCATGGAGTGAACATGCCATGGAAGTTGCGATGTGAGCCGATGTAACCAGGTCGGGGAGAGTGATCCTCACTTGAGTTCAGAGCTGGACTTTGGAGGCTTTGAGATCATAGATCCCTCAACTAATTCCCCCGGGCCAGGTGCCAGCTTTTACCGTTTCTTTTGGGGGGGAGATGCGGTTCCCCTACGAAAATGGAGTACCAAAAAAGTAGTTGGGTCCTGTTATTCTAACCTCTCTGGAGGACCTAGCCAAGAGAGCCTCAACTGGACAAAGTTCCTGGACTGTTTGTGACTGATCCACTGAAGTGCGAAAGCAACAAGCCCTCCCTTCCAAGCTGAGAGTTTCCGAGTGCCCGAGTGGGCCGTGAGTTTAAAATGGGAGTATGGGTCCAAATATTGATTTGGGCCCCGAGATGGTCGGTTTTCCGATTGGTTTCCCCCTAACCCAAATGCAGGGCTCCTTAAAAGATCTCCATTTTGCCCAATTGAAACATGGCTTTTTCCACCAAAATAAAGGGAAGCCACCATTTACAAGGCAATGTTCAGGTGTACAATGTAAGGATCCCTGAAATGCTTTCAGGTCTCCTTGCAGCCTTGCCATGGCCTCGAATGCAGGTAGAGGTGTGCTTGATGAGTGGGCGCAGCTGCTCCATTTCAATCGCGTCAGGGGCCAGGGTTCGCAAGCTCAAGTCTGAGGCACAGCGGCGGTTCGGGCGCCCCTGTCTGAGACTTGCTTGCGGAGACAAGCTGCTGGACGCCTCAGAAACTTTGAGTGAAGCGGGCGTGCGGGATGGGGACACCATTTATGCAATCCCGCAGGTGGTGAAACTCGCGTCCGCGGATGCAGCGTTTGTACTCTATGTTGAAGGAGGAGCAGCACTGACGTGGGGGAATTCTCACGCAGGTGGTGACAGCAGCCGAGTGCGAGATCAATTGGTACAGGTTCACCAGATCCAAGCTACTCCGTCTGCTTTTGCTGCCATCCTGGGCGACGGCTCTGTGGTGACTTGGGGCCATCCTGGCGCAGGCGGAGACAGCAGCCAGGTGCGAGAACAGCTGGTCGACGTGCAGAAGATCCGCGCAAATGACCATGCCTTTGCTGCCATCCTGGCCGACGGCTCTGTGGTGACTTGGGGCGATGGGGTCCATGGCGGCGACAGTGGCCAGGTGCGAGAACAGTTGGTGCGCGTTCACCAGATCCAAGCTACTCGGAGTGCTTTTGCTGCCATCCTGGGCGACGGCTCTGTGGTGACTTGGGGCCATCCTGGCGCAGGCGGAGACAGCAGCCAGGCGCGAGAACAGCTGGTCAACGTGCAGCAGATCCAGGCAGCTGACTATGCGTTTGCTGCCATCCTGGCCGACGGCTCCGTGGTGACTTGGGGCAATGGGGTCCATGGCGGCGACAGCGATTGGGTGCGAGAACAGTTGGTGCGCGTTCACAAGCTCCAAGCTACTCGGAAGGCTTTTGCTGCCATCCTGGACGACGGCTCAGTGGTGACTTGGGGCTTTCTTGGCGCAGGTGGTAGCAGCTACATGGAGCAACACTCCCTGGTGCAGGTCCAGAAGATTCAATCAACTGGCCATGCTTTTGCTGCCATGTTAGGCGACGGCTCTGTGGTGACGTGGGGCCATCCTACCTTGGGCGGGTGTTGCCACCGTATGAAAGAGTTGGTGCGGGTTCAACAGATCCAGGCAACTCGTGATGCTTTGGCTGCCATTCTGCAAGACGGCTCTGTGGTGACTTGGGGCCATCCTGCCGCAGGGGGTGACAGCAGCAAGGTGCACGAGCAGTTGGTGCGCGTCCAACAAATTCAAGCAACTCAGAGTGCTTTTGCCGCGATTCTGGAGAATGGCTCTGTTGTAACTTGGGGTGAACATAGTGCTGGTGGTGACAGCAGCCAGGTGCAACAGCGGTTGGTGCGGGTCCAGCAGATCCAGGCAAGTCAGCGTGCTTTTGCTGCCATCCTGGACGACGGATTTGTTGTGTCTTGGGGCGATTCTGGGTATGGTGGTGACAGCAGCCAGATTCAGACTCAACTAGACTGGTTGTGAGACAGGTTGGTGCGCCGGGGGTGGCGTTGCTTCCCAAAATGGAACGAAGGGGTCTCGACTGGTGGAGTTCCAGTTGTAACTCATTTTTCAGTGTGAGATTGCACGCAAATAACAAGCCACTCCTAGGAAACAGCGTCCCCACCCCGACCGAACAACTGGGAATAAGAGGCTTTTTGCGCCAGATTGCACTATGAAAGCGCAAACCACCGACCAGGTCAGTTTCTGACTTGTCCAGAAGCAAACAAAAAACATAACTCCACTTATGAGTTCCCAGGTATCTGAGGAAAAATAAGCGGGCCGCCGTGATCGACCCAAATATTTACCCTGGAAAATTGGGGGGGGGGGGGTGGATGTTGAACAACCCAGATCGTTTCTTTGGCTTTGGGGGGAAACGTTAAAACCTTTTGTAGGGGAAGAGTCCGTATACGACCAAAATATGGGGTCGATTTAAGTGAAGAATTCATCAAACCGAAGTGGTTGCAAGCCATCGCGGCTGCTCTATGGGATTGAGCCACGTCGGGCAAGTGAAGGTTAGTAAGGGACAGCCCGAAATGATGAGGTACGGATATCAGCTTGTTGATTATTGACATAAGTTTAGGTCAACTCCTGTACTTTCAGGTGTTTATTGTCACTCATTTCAAGGGCTTTTCCCAGAGCCAGCCTCCTTCCCAAGCTCAGTTGCAAGGAGTGGCTGCTTGTTTTTGAGAACAAGTGTGTCCTAAGTTACAACCCACTGAATTGACGCATCCTTTCTGAAACCGTTTTGGGGGGATAAGTTTTATCCTCCATTTTTCCCACTTGGGCCCCTTCATCAGCGTCCGCTGATTGTGAGCGGTATTCGGGGCTACCCGAAGCTACCCGAACCCAGATGGCTCAAGCACTTCTAGGTACTTAGACCCCCCCTTCCCCCCCCCTTTGCCGCCATCCTCAGGTACCAAGGGGCCCTTTGATTAACGTTTTGCCTAGGATGGTCCTCCTAAAGTAGAAGCCATCATTTTTGTTCCGCTGTTTTTCTTGCGCCAGGCGTGCCGGCGCTGGCATCTCGCCAGAAAGCCAATTCCCCCCTCTCCGCGGAATCGATTCCGACGAGGATCCGGTGGCGGTTGATGCGCTCGAGCTGTGCCGAGGCTTCGATTTATCTTGGCAGGCCGTAGACAACGTCGCGTTTTAACCTTTCAGATTGGGGCATCAACCCCAAATTTTTCGGGGGGGCGCTTAGCCGCCATGTATGGGAAGATCTGTTGACATACCCCGCCATGGGCTCTGAGCCCAGACCATCGAAATCCTAGAGACCGCCTGAAGTGATAAAAACTGTGGATGACCTTGGCCAGGAGTTCAACTCTCCTTTGTTTGGATTCCACATGTGTATAAGTCAAAATTCAAGCACCAGGGGACCACAGGTTTTAGTCCTTATTGTCTACTTATCAGGGTTTCGTTTTGGGTACCTTCTTTGACCCAGCGCCACGTTCCTTGGACCCTTCGGCTATCTTCGGCTCTTTTGTCCCGGGACCCTTCGGCTCTTTAGTCCGGAGACTCGGAGTCGCACCGCGTCGCACCGCGCCGCACCGCGCGAGCCATGGCGGACGACGAGGGGGATGGCTTGACGGCTGCGGACCGACAGAAGTACTCCGAGGCCTTCAACATCTTCGACAAGCACCAGCGCCGTGCCCAAAAGAAGGTCAAACACCCACCTCCGACTCCGCAATGTGCTGCTGTTCTTTCTCTTTTTTGTTTGGGGGGGGGTTAGCGTGGCAAAACCCCAAGCAGGTAATTATGTATCATGGAAAGTCGAGTTGTTGTTTTTTTACTCTACCAACTAAAAGAGGTGGGTGTTTGGCTATGTGCGGAACTCACTCCCTGAGTTCCTTGACTTAGTATTAGTGGCAAGAGCCCAAAGTTTGGCACACTCGGTTTTGCCCATCATGCCCATCTAAATATGTTCTCAAGGAAGTGAGCCCCTTGTGGCGTCTGGGGTTTGGGGTTAAAGGTTTTCATTTTGGTTGTCCATTCAAAAGCACCGAGGTGGTGCCTAGATCCCCTGTTGCCTTTATTATTTTCGAGCGGAGTGGCCGAGGCAGGGCTACCTGCAGTGGCGCCCGGACTTCGCGAATCTCTGGCGCGCCATTGGCCAGAACCCCACAGAGGCCGACATCCGCCGGATCTTAGACGAGAACAACGCCATCGGCGGCACAGGCGCGAAAAAGCTGCGGATGCGCGAATTAGCGAATTCGCGCGAAAAGGAACCCCTGCAAAAAAGATGGAGAGGGGGGGGGGGAAGGGATTTGATTGTTGTTGTTTTTTTTCACAGGAGCCTTTGGAGCGAACTGTTAGGGGTAGATTGAGGGCCTAGGGGTCCTTGGTTTAGAAAACACTGGTTGGCTATGAAGCAGGATCTGACAAGTTTTTTTTGGTGTGCCATTGGGAATCCCTATGGCCTGCGAAATGCTTGGACCCCGGATTTGTTCGACTCATGTGTCGCAGTGTGCCATTTTCGGGGAAACCAACCAACCGGCTCCAATTCGAGAGGAATTGGTCCGGGTTCATTGGAGGGGCCCACATGAGGGGTGCATTGGAGGAGTCACGAGCCTTAGAGGAGCTCCCGCCCAAAGGCTGACGCGTCCGGACTTCAGTGCGGCGGTGGATTCCAACGATTCTTCCGCCTCCAATGGCCCGCTTTATGTTAGGCATGTTGAAGAACCAGGTTGAAGCCATGGCAATTACCGGTCCCTTTTTGTTGATAGAGGATTGACATCATCCCCCATCCCATGATAATTAGACATGGGTGTTGATTTTGTTGGCCCTGCCCAAGCCCGGATTTCAGAGGAACCCAGAGGTGACACCCCCAGTGATCCGGGTTTGCAGTTGCTTTTTTCTTTTTTTAGTTTTCCCTGTTGGTTTTAACAAGAAGGAATTTATCACTATAATGGACATGTGTTGTCTCATTTTTCCAGGGGGTCTCCACCAAATGAAAGAGTTACCCCCTACTCAAAATACCAACGCTTTTTGCAGTTGGTATTTTTGGTTGAGATCCGAAAAGGTTTTCCTTTTTTCGTAGAGGGTCGACATGATACCAACTGAAAAGAGGGTATTTCGAGTAGGGGCTCTGTTTTCTCTCTTCTTTTCTTTTCTCCGTTGGCCCTGGTGCCACCCGGTACCAAATGGAAGTAGTATCTTGGTCATCCAGAAAAAGGCGTAAGGAGGCGCGGGCGCGGGCGCGCGGGCAGCTCCAGGCCATTTCACGCTGGAGACCTTCCTGAAGCTCTGCGAAAACCGCGAGGACAACCTGCGGAAGGAGCCGAATCCCTCGAATCGGGTCGGAGCGTCGGAGCGTCGGAGTCGAAGCGTCGGAGTCGAGTCCTTGGTGTCCTTTTGCCATCCTGCTACCCCAAAAATATAAGGGTTATGGCTTCAAAGTTATGGGATGGGATTCCTTAAGGATAGTTTGAGGGTCCAGGGGCAACTTCCTTTTCCATTCTTTCCAGGGATCTGAATCTTTCTAACCACAAAACAACTGGGAACGATGGTTGAAAGAATGGGGAATCAACCCCTAGAAAAAGGGTACCTAGACCGGGCCTGAAACTAAACAAGGGACACCACCAACCATATATTTGGGTTGCAAGAAGCCATTTATGGTCGTCTAGTTTGAGGGTTCAGGTCAAAAAGACAACCTTGTAGGGGTAACTTCCCATTCTTTCTAGGGATCCTTTTCTAGAAAATCACCGAAACCGTGGGGAAAATGGCTGGTTTTTGAAAAGAAGGATGGCTGACAAGAATGGGGAATCAACCGCTAGAACCTTTTGGATGTCCAGTAGGGCTTCCGGGTTTTGTCCAAAAGCAAGGTCTTTGGGGAGGGGCGTTTCTGCGGAAACATGGCGTACACCAATCATACAATTTGCACACAATTGTGACTTTGAGTTTACTTGCTTTCGTACTTGACACTGTTTTCGCCTTTGAAATCAAGGGCCCGACCAAAACGGGCGCCGCTTTTGTCCCAGCAAAGGAGCAATGGGTGTCCGTTTGAATACCAGGCCCCAAGCACTGAGGTGGGTTTCTTTGTAAAACAAGATGCCAAGGACTGTGTTTTCTCTTGCCCCTACCGGAGGTCCGGTTCCGGATTACTGCACCCTGGTTGATTTTGATCGGCGTGTGATGAAGTGCTCAGAGGCTCAGGGGGGTCTTCTTTTCCAGGACAGCCTTACGACAGTACGAAGTGTTTTTGCCCTGATTGGACAAGCGTGCCCAACCCGAGTTTGTTCATCCCGGCTATCCATGGTTAAGTGGGGCTTCTAGCCCCCTACTGAGTTTTTGTGGATGGACAGAATCCTGCACCAGCTGGGATACATGAAACCCTGTGAAGTTCTGGGATAAACCGCCTCAAACCCGGCGCAGGTCCTTGGATCCTAGATGCAACCTTCCTGTCCCCCATGTGGTTTTACGCGTGGCCCCAGCGCCAAAAACTTGGAGTTTGGGAAGGGGGTCGGGGTGGTAACCATTAAAGTTCGTGAGGCCACGGAAGGAACGGAATTGGAGAGTCCCCATTCAGCCGGAGATGTGTTTGCCCTTTCCGCGCTGCGGGAAGGCTAGAAGATTGGAATTGGGGAAACCCGGCCCCGAGCTACCCCCGACGGCAAATGCTCGCTGTTTCATGCTTTTCCAGCTTTGTTTTTGAGTCAATCACTCGCCATACGAGAAAGAACCACTAGGAAATGGGTTCGAGTGCCAGGAGCAGCTGATTGAAGCCTTCAAGACCTTTGACAAGGACGGCAAAGGCACGCTCACCATCGCGCAGATCCGATATGCGCCTTCGATGCACGGCACGCCGTGGAGTGGCGCTTGTCAGATCTTCCGTTGCGGTGGTGTTTCCAAGGACTGGCTGCATGTAGCCTACCCACGTATAATCTACCGGGCGCAGATTCGGGGTTGTTCTAGGTGAGGCTAAGGCGATTGTGAGACAAACTCACCCCGTACTCCAAATACCATTCGCGTTCAGGGTACCATGTCAACCCTGTGCTAAAAAAGGTGGAGATTTCTGACAAAAATAACATGTTCAACAAAGAGGGTATTTGGAGCATCAGGCAACCCTACTTGGGTTTTGCCTTGGTGGTACGTTGATGTGAACTTACCTTTGTCGCATCTAATGCAGCGGGTTAATAAATACCAACATGAGTTTCCCGTGGTCATGACTCCATGTCCTATTTTTCCTTCCATTCCAATGAAATTCAGCCTGTACTAAATGAGATGGCAGTCCTTTCGCCTCCGTTGACCGGCTTAGTTTGTGTGGGGACGAATCCTGGACCCTTGAGGAAAGAAATGGCGGAAGCTTTCCTGCTGTTCACTTCCCTTGGTGGTTGCCAGCCATCCCCTTGGGCCCAGACACTCATGTAGGGCCAACACACACACCACACATCGGCCCTGTTCAGGTGCTGATGACCATGGGGGACCCTTTGACGGACGAGGAGGCGGATCGCTTCATCGACTTCGCGGACAAGAACAAGGAGGGCCCTGGCCTTAGCCTCTGAGCCTCTGAGATTCTGGGGACATCGGGTCTGGGTCCCCCAGCTAGGTGTGTGGGGGGGGGGGCCAACTTGTGCCCACCTTTCTTGGTTGGGAGGGTTCCCCTAAAACAAAGATAGGCTACAGAAAAAATGGGTACCCTTATTCTAACCTCTCTACTGAAGGACCTAGGGGTGTATGGGTGTGGATCAAAATAGGGATTGCCCCAACATGGCTTCGTTTTAAAGCTGTTTGGCGTCCCTTTAAACCTTAACCCCGCCCCAAAAAGGGTACCCTCAAAGAAAAAGCACACACACACACACACACATGAGGAGCCCGCTTGGATGGCTTGACATGGAAGCAACCCAAAAAGCAACCAACCATGTGGGGTGGAGATTCCTGAACTTTGAATCTTTTTTGGAAAACTGATCGCGGGCTCAGGCTTCATGAGCATTTGCTGTCTTGCCCTTACTGAAAAAACACATACTTGTGTGGGTGTGTCATGTGAACCGACTGGATCCCCTGCTTTACCACCATTTGGTGGTTTTGAGCTTTGGCGGATGCTCACTGAGTTCCTGGACAAGACACTTCTTGAGAAGACCATGTTAGTAAAAACCAAAGAATCGGGGGCTCCAAGCCACTCGATCGGAAAGTGATGCTGGATCTCAGGGATCGGAACTACCCTCAAAGGGAGATGGTTTCAATCTCTAATTTACTTAGTCCCTTATTGCTCAACTTCTGGGGGGGGGACCCTTTTTTGGTTTGAAGGGTCTTTGCCAGCACCCCCAACTGCTGCTTTCGGACAGTACGACCCTTCAGATGTCTAAAGGAGAAGTATAGGGACCTGGAAATTTCAAACTATCCATCAAGAAGGGACACCACCGACCAGAAATTTGGGGCTTGCCCCATTTTTACGGGGCACCTGGATCGTAGTGGGTAAAGTGGTTGGACAAAGTGGCTACTTGGCTATCTAGGCAGTTTCAGGGAGCCCCCCAGTGGCGTACGCGAGGGGGGCGGTTGGGGGGTTGGCAGGTGCCCACGCGGAGATCGATTACGAAGAGCTGGTGGAGCGCTTGGATGACCTCGACCCCGGGGACAAAGTCTGAGCCGTGAGAGGAGGTGTTTTTTCCCCAAAGGGCTCCCGACGTCCATTGGCTTAACTTGGTGGCTCCAAAAGGACATCCGCTTCCTTAGCTTGTTGGCCTTTTAGTGTTTAGTGGTGGTTTCCATTTAGCCCACTAAAAGTTAAACTTTGAGCAGGGGATCTGAGGGCAGCCCAGTTAACCAGATGTTGTATGTTTTCTTGTTGGCTTTTAGCGCAACCCCAAAAAAAGCGTCCTTTGAAAAGATCGCCCTTCCATTTGCGTGTAAGTCAGGCTTTTGTGTTGATGTGTTGCTTGCTGGTGTTGAAAGGAATCGATTTCACTACTGGGAATATGTCCTCATTTTTTCCAGGCTTAACTTAAGCAAATGGAGGTGGAACAACAAGGGTTTTTTCAAAACATTGCGGGGGTTACAAAGGAGGTCACAAAAAAACGCTTTCTCTATAGCTCAATGCCAGTGTTCGGAGGCTCCATGTGAAATCTGGCGTGCACGCTTGCGAGCAGGCAGAGAGGACTGCTGCAAAAAACTCGTGCGAAGTTTCACTCCACGATCTTTCTCTAGGGGTTGATTCCCCATTCTTTTAAACCATCGTTGTTTCCAAAAATCGGCCGTTTTCCCTGGGATTCCGGAGGTTTCTAGAAAGATTCGGATCCCTTGAAAGAATGGGGAAGGTACCCCTAGACTTTCAGGTGGACTTGCATGACTGGCCGCGAGCAGAAATTATTGCGCCCTGCGTAAGGCCAGATTTGCCCCGTTGGCTTGTACATGGGCTGTCAAACTAACCCTTACTCCAAATACCCTCCTTTTTCAGGGTATCATGTCGACCCTCTACTAAAACAGGAGGTATTTACCATGGAAAACCAAGCGGCTTTCCCAAAAATACCCTGAACAAAGCGGGTATTTTGAGCAGGGGGTAGGGAAACCCCAAAATGAGCCAGGAGAATGCTTTTCCTTTACCAGATGCTGGGAGGCGTCCCACTCCGCGCTGTTGCTAAAGGAGCAGAAACCCAAACGAATGGATTTGTGTTCGTGGCGAGGCCTGCCGGGCCCATCTTTAAAGGCGAGCTTTTCTCAAGTTCGGCTTTGGACCTGTGGGTGAGAGGTGGGGAGGTTGGAGTCAGACAGATGGCCTCGAAGTTAATATTGGCGCGATTTGACGCGAGTCACTTCACCTGGGCACGACATGTCAAAGCCGAGCCGAGAGGCCTTGAGTGCATGTCAGGCATCTCTTGAGTTGGACTTGCTTTCTCGGACCTGGACATGGCGTCTCCAATGCAAGCTGTGGCAAAGCGCAAGTCGCTGCCCTTGCCACATGGATTCCTTATAGGTGCTTCTTTTGTATTTGCAGCCGAACTGAGGTGTCGCGTCCTCTGCCGGAGCTTGCCCAACCGCACAAGGAGCGCTGGCACGAGCCAAGGAAATGAGTTGAGCTTGTAGACGGGCCTTTAAATAATTCCTGGGCCCCCAAAGGACCGATCCCGATTTTTTTCTGCCTTTGTACCGCCTCTTTTTGGGTCAAAGGCAGAAAACAAAATCGGAATCGGTCCTTTGGGGGTCCAGGTTCTTTGTGTTTCAAAACTGTTTAAGTAACTTGTTTCGAGGCAGGGTCCGGTGCATCAATTGGCCACTCAGCGAATCGACTTTGTCAGACCCTGGGCCCCATCTTCTAGTTCTTTTGGTTCAAGTAAGACTGGCGGTTTTGCTGAATTTGTGGGTTCTTGGACTTTATGGACTTGTCACTTTCTGGGTTTGGACCATTTCAGTGGCGAGCAAACAGTTTTGGTCACTTGTTGACCAACTCACTCAGGAAGTGACCTTGAGTGGACGAGTTGCGATGCTTAGTTGCAGGGGTGTGTGGACGTTGCTTTGCGGACCAGCATGTGTTCATAGTTCTCGCACACAGATTTCGTTGGGCCCATGACGGTGAGCATACCGGATTCACAAAATATCCAGACCTCAAGTGCGACGTTTCTTTGTCCACATTTTGGTGTTGGAAACGTCTCTTTCCCAACTTTTCGGGTGGGGGGGGAAGGGGGACCCTTGTCTTTTTTTACAGTGTGTGTTCTGCGGGAATTTCTTCAAAGTCAATCAGCCAGAACCAGTTGCAATCTCGTTTTCCACAAGCCGGGCCATTGCGGACATATCACGTAGCCCTGCACTTGGGGGGGGGGGCACCTAGGGGGGTGTCGAAGCCATAGGAGAGTCCTTTTTGGTTTGGTCGAAACTAGATGGCAATTCCTGGTCTGGTCTCGCTTAAGTCCGGCCATGAACTTTAGGCTTGGCAAGGCCTTTTTTTTGGGGGGGTTAGTTGTGAATAACAACAGTTTGGCGACTTGTTGGCCTTTTGGGATACCTTTTGGTAAAAGCAACGAGGCTTTCACAAGAAGCCGCTAGGTGTTTTTGGATACTCTTTTTAGGGGTTTTCAGACAACCACCTTGGATACCTTTTTTGCAGAGAGCCCTTAACGGGGGTCGCCGTAACGAGTTTAGATTTCAGGCAAAAACAGAGCAGCCCCAAACTGCCCGAGAAGCCGGATGAGAGGTGTGCGCAAACCCTCCCCGTTGGTCGCCAAGTTTTGCTTGGCCAATCACAAGCCGCTTCAACCGGCCAACGCGTCACAAACTCCGTTGCCCAAAGCGAATCGACCTTTTAACCTTTTTTGTTTTTTGTTTTGGCCCATTTTTAGTCGTGGCCACAAAAGGTGATCACCTTTTATTTCTGGGTCCGAACTGGGCAAGTGAGCAAAACGTCATTGTCAAATTGTGGTCCGGCAGGATCGATCCAAGCCGCGCAGCCTTGAGAGAATTCCGCTCGACGGGGTGATGGTAGCACCTAGCTGCACTTGCGGCCGCTGGATGTGCCCGTGTTTCCTCTTGAGCGGTTTGCTGCGCGCCAACTTTTGGTGGGGCAGCTTCTGAAGGATGATCAAACCTAAAGTGTGCCTGGACCTTCAACCTCCGGGAAATTTCTGGGTGTTTTAGGAGACCCCTACGATTTGCCGAATTCCAGTGGTTTAGCTACAATTTGGGCAAACACACATACGAATTGCGTCGTTTCCAGTCGTGCATTGGCCATACAAAGTAAATACACCTCGCAGCACTTGCCAACGTGCCAGTAAACTCCATGGGATGCCTTGATCATCAAAGCTACAACTGTTTCTGATTTGCGGGAGTTTGCGGGAGATTTGCGGAAATTGCGGGCGTTTTGCGGTCAAAATGGGTACGGTTTTTCTGCACCGCACAACTTTGGACCGCCGTTGCATGTGTTGACAAACTTTCGGGCTGCTTTAAGTCGTTTACCCCTGCAAAGCTTCTTTTATCCTGTCAAAGGCCGCGAGCATTGCAATAGTGTATTTTTTAGGAGTTTTAGGAGTTTCAGGTTTTTGCGGCAAAAAGTGCTACGATTTCCCGAATATCCAGTCAAAGGCGGAAACTACGTGTTTTGGTTTCAGGAGGACGAAGATCCAGGTTGTGCTGTTTCTGTTGGGGCCCGATTTTCCAGCCCAAGTGGCAATCCAAGGTCTGGGCTTATAGCTTTAGTATTCTTGCTTTTGGCCTTGGACTCCCCCACTTGCTGAGCAACCTTGGCCCTGGCGGTTTGCCGGCGACATTCCGCGGGAGGACCAAAAGACGCGGCTTTGGCTGACACGTGAGACCACGGTTTGCTTTTCCGGCACTTGGGTGCCGGATGCAAACTGTTTTCATTCTGGTTAACAAGGAAACCGGTCCTAAGGTTGCCATGGATTTGTGGTTGAGTACGGTTGGTGTACTTGCGGAAACTTAGGTCTTTTGGATCCCATCTTTGAGTTTCATGCCGTCCTTGGCGAGAGGCGATCGGCGTGAAAACATGGTGGTTGACCAACTAGGTCCTTCACGTGGGATGGCCGTCAGGAAGACCAGCAAACAAGATGATGACCGCTACATGGGGACAGTTACCCATGGTCATTTCGGGGCCGAAGGGAGTATTGATCACCCCGACATGTGAAGATGTGCGGTGGTTTTCGCAGCGCTTATTCCCTGGTGCTCAGGTGGGAATGAACGGCTTCCCCTGAAAGGGAACCACTTGGGGCATGGGGCATGCCATTTCTCAGGGCCCCTGCATCTCTCGCAGCATAGTACGCGGGATAGTACAGGTGGACATCATGCAGCAGTGCGTGAACTTGCAACTGGACAGCGGCCACAATCACGAGGCCTGAGTCGTGCTCCCAGGGGGGTGCAGGGCAAGCAGGGCCCCTGAATCACTGAAAGGGCGATGCTGGCTGGGGGCAGTGACAAAATCCCCCCCAAATGACCCAAATGCCAGCTGATTTGACTCGCACATGGTCTCTTCTCGTTGTTCTAGGGGTTGATTCCCCATTCTGTTCAACCATCGTTCTTTTCAAAAACCAGCTGTTTTTCCAGGGTTTTGGGTGGTTTTATAGAAAGAAGGATGCCAAAAAAGAATGGAAAAGGAAGGTACCCCTAGACGATGCTGCCACTGAAAGTCTAGACTGCGTTTCTGGGCATCGACGGGTGAAGGTTGTGGACAAATGGAGAAGACCCCATCGGCTGGTCAAAATTAAACCAGCGGACCACAGGTTTTAGTCATTGTTTCAATTTACCAGAATGCCATTTTGGGTACCTATTTTTGACCCACAGCCATTTAGACCAAAAGAAAAGCCAAGGGAATGACACTCAACGGTCCTGAATGGGCCCTAGTAGTCACTATTCCCCTGCAATATCTACCCTTGCTATGGCTTTGAAACAGCATATAATGTGTGGTTGATTCCTGTCTCCATGGACATATCACATTGAACAGGGGATTCTTTGGGCCCTTCATTGAAAATGACAACCTAAGCCCCAAGTGTTGGTGTGTGCCTTTGAAAAGAAATCAACGATAATTTTTATTTTGAAGGGGTTTTTGCCCAAAATTCTGGAAGCAAGGAAACAAGGGAACTTGTTTCCCGGAAGTTCCAATGGCAAATGCTGGCAGCAAAGAACCAGGAAACTATTTACTGAAATG